AGAAATAAGACAAATGAGAAAATTCTAAGAAATCTGGTGGGATTTTCTAGGGCACTGATGTGGCCTTTGGAAAGACATAGGTTTAGGAATGCGACAGTCTGGGTTGGAAGTCACTTGTTATTTGCGTGACTTGCATAAGGTTCTTAACCTGCAACAAGCTGATTTTCACTTGAAATGACATCAAATTTTAAGCTGCCATTTTCTGTTCAAAGGACAGTGACATCCAGCTAAAAGGAGAAGCCAAGGCTGGAGATCCTTGAGCCATGGAAATGTTTCATCTATCCCAGCTGCCACCATTACAATACCATGAAGGGGGGGGGGTCTAAGCCGGGCTTCGGATGATGGACAGCTCCTGCCATTACTATACCATGAAGAGGTGGGTCTAAACCGAGCTTTGGAGGACGGACAGCTCCTGGACTCAGTTGTTTTCTTAGGGACAGAGGTTGTAGCCGCAGGCTTGTGTTTTGCTCGGAGAATTCAGTCCTGGATTATAAAACACGGCTCACACTGTTTGTGAGTCTCCTTAGAGCCATACAGCCACAAGACAGAGTTCTCACTGTAGGAAATTCTGTGCAGTGGGCAAGCCTGAACAAGGTCTACCTGGAAGAGCTATCCCAAGCTTCTCTTCTATCTCCAACTTGCTGGTCCAAGGCACCAGAATCTCTTTCAGTGTAAAGCTCTTTTGTTTTTTCACTTCCTGCCTATGAAATCCATATATTGGGGTGACTTATATTAAAAAAAAACAAACATCAACAAAAACCAAAACTGGGTGATGATGTCCCACATCTTTAATACCCAGCATTTGGTGAGTTCGAGACCAGCCTGGTCTGCAGAGCTAGTTCCAGGACAGCAAGGGTTGTACAGAGAAACCCTGTCTCGAAAAATCAAAATAAAACAAAATGGCCAAGTAGTCCCCTAGCTCTGATTAAACCTTTCAGTGACTCAGGAAAATGTTGAGAAGCCTCTTGCCCACCCCAGGCCCCTTGCTTGTAACACTAGTTCCACTTTGGGGCTTTGGACAGTTTTCTCTCTATAGTCAATAGTCACCTCTCACGTGTCCCCGTCCACTTGGCTCGTGTATCATGTGTTGGTGCACAAACTCGAGGCGGGTATAAGAAATGTCACATTTTCATTAAAGCAAATGAAATCTATTTGAGTCTACTTTGCTGTGCCTCAGCAATACCCCTTTCCCTACTTTCTTTCACCCATTCTCTAGCCACTGAGTGTAGGCTGCCGTAGGTACCCAGCTCATGTTCTCTGGAGTGCTGTGTTTATACTGTCTCCCAGGGATGGCTGGAAGTTAGCAACTGACAATTCACTTGATTCATCGCAGTACATATGCCCCCAAAGTGAGACTCTGAGCTAAAGCATTTCTCTCTCTCTCTCTCTCTCTCTCTCTCTCTCTCTCTCTCTCTCTCTCTCTCTCTCTCTCTCTCTCTCTCTCTCTCTCTCTCTCTCTCTCTCTCTCTCTCTCTCTCTCTCTCTCTCTCTCTCTCTCTCTCTCTCTCTCTCTCTTGGATTTTCAAGACAGGGATTCTCTGTAGCTTTGGAACCTGTCCTCGAACTAGCTCTTGTTGGCCTTGAACTCAGAGATCTGCCTCCTGAGTTCTGGGATTAAAGGTGTGCACCACCATCACGGGCTACGGAAGCATTTCTTGCTTGGCTCTCTCTGCTCTGCCCCACTTCTTCCAGGCTTCTGGAAGCCTCTTGATTCATCACACTTGCACAGGAAACTTCACCATAGGCTCTGCTTCTAGGGACCCAAACTCAGTCACATCCTTTATCCTTTGTAGATGTCCGATTTGAATCTACAGTTTCTACAGCTATTAGTTTAATATTTATTCATCCCAAGTATCCCTAAGTAAACAAAGATCCCTGGAAACGGACCTCTTTTCACTCATCGCACTATGTAGCCCTGGGACTTGCTAGGTAGACCTGATTTGCTTCACACTCACACAGATCCACCGCCTAGCACTAGGTAGAGAGAATAGGTCACTTCTTTCTCTTAGAGAGACTGAGGAGAGCCAGAGAGCTACCACTGTGGTGTGCCGCATATACCCGGGAACTTAAATGTCGAAATCATGCTTCTTGGTGGCAGCAAGCCCAGGTGGATCCTGAAATTTGGGTGAGAAGATATGGCGGGGGCATATTCAGCCAGTTAGGATGAAAGCCAGGGCAGGAGCGTACACAGTTTTTTTTAATTTATTTATTTCTTTATTAATTAATTAAAGATTTCTGTCTCTTCCCCACCGCTGCCTCCCCTTTCCCTCCCCCTCCCCCAATCAAGTCCCCCTCCCTCGTCAGCCCAAAGAGCAAACAGGGTTCCCTACCCTGTGGGAAGTCCAAGGACCACCCACCTCCATCCAGGTCTAGTAAGGTGAGCATCCAAACTGCCTAGGCTCCCACAAAACCAATAGGTGCAGTAGGATAAAAAACCCATTGCCATTGTTCTTGGGGTCTCAGTAGTCCTCATTGTCCGCTATGTTCAGCTAGACCTGTTTTAACCCAGGCTTTTTCAGACCCAGTCCAGCTGGCCTTGGTGAGTTCCCGATAGGACATCCCCATTGTCTCAGTGTGTGGGTGCACCCCTCGCAGTCCTGAGTTCCTTGCTCGTGCTCTCTCTCCTGGTGCTCCTGATTCGTACACAGTTTTCTTAAGATGATATGCAAGCGTCAGGTCCATCCTGGGAGTCAAGGTCTAAGTGTAGAGCTCCAGATGACTAATGGTTTTATTTTTATTTATTTATTTTAATTTATTTATTATGCATACAGTATTTTCAGTACTCTGCCTGTAGGCCAGAAGAGGGCACCACGTGGTTGCTGGGAATTGAACTCTGGGACCTTTGGAAGAGCAGGCAGTGCTCTTAACCGCTGAGCCCGACTAATGGTTTTATCTAGTTATAGTTTGCTAGAAAGCCTTGCAGGGAACACCAGCAAGGGTGCAGCCATGGTGGCTATGACTCAAGATGACTCCAGCAGTGTCAATCTGAACCCAGGCATACAATGGAGAAGTTGGCAGACACCGAGGGTCACAGAGCCTCTTAACCTCTCTAGCAATAGACACTTTCTCCTCTGGGTGTTTGGGAAAGAAAGCCACCCTACAGTCCCAGCTTGCCTTCTCTTGTTTATTCCCCTCAAATTCCAAAGCCAGAGTTAACGGTCTCTGACTGGTCCTGTTTAGGTCACTTAATTGGACACAATGAATCACAATTCTGTTTTTATCAGGTCAATCTGGCCAGTCAGGACATTCCTGGGCATGGAGTCCCTACTTAGATGAGAGCCAGAAGCCAATCAGACAAATCAAAAAGGGTCTTATCGAGATTATATCTCATTTCAGTCAAAATCAAGGCAATACTTCAATTTTACTGGTGCTCCAATATTCCCAAGAAAGGCTCCGAAAGGAACTCAGACAAATCGCCATCTAAGGTCCTATTAGCATCCCAAAGCATATGCTGACTTCCAGGCTCCTTTGTATCACAAGTGCCTGTGGCTGTTCCCACCCTGCCCCTACCCTAAACTTCAGCTCACAGGCATCTCGTTCTTTAGAACCCTAGTATTTGGCCTATGCTTCTCTTTTGCCTCTCTCTCTCTGTTGTCTACTTTTCTTCCTCTCTTTCTTCTCACAATCAATGACAGCGTTCAGACCATGATCAGGTTAATATTTCTCTCTCTACCCTGAACTCTTCCAGGTGCCTCTGGCTCTTCTCTCCCTCACATATACAGTAAAAATCTTCCCTTCAACCATACCTTGGAACGGTCATGTCCTCAGTTTACATGCCTGATGTTGAAATCCTTAGTTTATACACTGGATTTTATTTATTTTTTTCAAGATGATTCTCTTCTACTAGGTTGTCTCTAGTTATAGAAGGAGTGTATGGTGCTGTGGTCTCATTTCTGATGATGACGTGCAGGCAGGGCAGGTGAGTCTGCATGCCTGTGGGGCACAGGAAAGTTGCTGCAACCAACTTTCCAGGTGATGTCGTATTGTTTCCTCTGAAACCACAAAGCCAAAGGCTGGCGAGGGGTGAACAGAAATAAGTCTGGTGGTGAAATATGCATGAGTGTTTTGGCAAGCCACAGATTCTTTTTTAGAATAAGATTTATTTTTATGTGTATGAGCATCTTGTCTACGTGTACATATGCACCTCACATGTGCAGCCCTCAGAGGCCAGAAGAGGGGAAGGGAACCCCGGGAACTGCGGTCACAGACAGGTGTGAGCTAATATGTGGACACCAGGGACTGAACCCAGGTCCTCTGCAAGAGCATCAAGTGCTCTTAACTACCGGAGCCTCTCCAGCCTCTCTCCAGTACTGGCTTTTGGATCCACAGCATTTTCTATTTGCAGGGCTCTGATACATGAGATGCCATTACTATTCTGAATAAAAGGAGTACTCCATCAAATAGAGACCCTTCCGGTGGCCCAATGGTAACAACCACAGACAGGGAGCAGAAGGAACTAACAGCTAACTGGGATTACAAGCACACACCACTGGGCAACCAAACCCAGTGTTTACTGGAGTTCTAGGGATCAAACTTAGGTGCTGACTAAGCCATCCCCTAGCTCCTCAGAGGTAACTTTTTAGTCTGTCCTTTTAGGGAAGGTCTGAAAATAGCCTGGGAACCTTAGGAATGCCAGTCATCGGTGAGTGGGTATCTGCTTGAGGCACACACACCTACAGGTACCTCCACTCAGAACGCTTCTCAGGCATGGACATACAGGTCTGAGATTCCCTTCACGTCTGGCTTCCTCTTTGCCTTTCCCACTTGTATCTTCAACTGTCTGTGCCGGAGGACACATGGCAGTAGCTGGGAAGTGTTAAGCGTTGACAGCAGCCGCACTGGAGCTAAAGGCAGACGTTTAATGGACTGTGTTCAAGCGCTAGCGAGTGCAGGACTAACTGCAGGATTCGAGGACCACCGTCTGCATGCCTGAGAAGTCTCAGCTTCTCATTCAGGACATTTCACACTGTGTTTTGTTCCTAAAACATCAAGTGGGTGTATGTTTTTGAGAGTTGATTTATTACTCAAAGATCTGAATTTGGAGACAGAAGAAACATGTTTTACACTGTGTTTTGTTCCTAAAACATCAAGTGGGTGTATGTTTTTGAGAGTTGATTTATTACTCAAAGATCTGAATTTGGAGACAGAAGAAACATGTTTTACCTACATATTTTTGAAAACTCTACCAAGAGAAAGAAACCCAGCGTCAGTTTCCAGCAGGTGGGACGTTCTCATGGAGACACTGCAAGGCCAAGTCCGTCCACTTCATCTCCTGCTCTTTCACAGACTCTGTGGTGCCGCCGTTGTCCTGCTCAGGCTCTGGAAGCTCACTCTGAAAGGGAAGGACACCCACGGCAACCATCAGGAAATTTCTTTCTGTTTAGTTTAGGGATGGGCCTCACGCAGCCCAGGCTGACCTTGGACTCACTATGTCACCTTCTGTGTGGCTTCCGCGCTGGTAGGGACTGAGCTCAGGGGCCTCGCGCACGCTTCAAAGCATCTCACCACCACACCCACTCTCAGCCAATCACCTTGAACTCTATCCTATCTCCCTTTGCCTCTCAGGAGCTGCAACTACAGGCGTGGACCTGGGGTCGAATACTTACTTCTGAAAACACAAGAGCACTAGGAACTAAAGCCCGTGAGGTCCTAGAACAGCCTGCATAACCGATATGCACAGTCTAAAGAGTCAAAATAAACTGATGTATGGAAAACGCCAGAGGTTCTGTTCAGCGTGGCTCGCTTCCCCTTTCAGCATGGAATATGACTCTGGTTTTCTTACAAGAGGCAGTGTGGCAGAAGGGCCGAGGGCAGGGACTGGAGGAGTCCCAGGCTGCCATTCATTCATTCGCTGGCTGATTTGTATGACATAATTCAAACTCATGGGGCCTTTGTTTCCCATCTCACAAATGGAAGAAAAAATTAGCTTTTTTCACATCTCAGGCTTTGGTAAAGATAGAATGAGGACATTTAGATCCAGTGCTTGGCACTGCGTTGGGTGTCCGGTGCTCTACGACACTCACTAGGATGAGTGGCTAAAAACACTGACAACAGCCAATGCTGAACCTTTCTGGAAATGCAGTAAAGGCAAATCAGATTTGCTGGAATGTGTTTTTAAATACAGCAAATGTATCAACAACAATGCTGCACTCCAAATGCTTATGTGACAATATGGGCTGGGTGAGGGACAGTGACAGTGTAACAGATGAGACTTCCCCCTAGTGGGAAAACATAGGAAAGACTAACTCACATCCCACAGGACCACACTAGACAGAAGCTGGTATCATTCCCTGATACACGTGAACCTATATCTGCTGAATCTGTGCTTGGTCCCAGAGTTCACAGATACCGTGTATTTCTGTGCAATCACCCGAAGTTACACTTTGTGTTGACAAACTGCTGCTTAATATTCAGTTAGGCTTTCCCACTGAATTCTTATTTACTATTTTCTTTAGTTATTTTTCTCCTTAAAATTATGTTCAACATATAGTAAATGATATTTATCTACAATACGTACAAATTATTTGAATCGGGACCAGTAAGATGGCTCAGTGGGTCAAGGCATTTGCTGCAAAGGCTGATGACCTGAGTTCTACATGTGTGTCATAGCACACAGGTGCACACACATGCAAGAAAAACCCAAATGTGTTTGCATCACTTGCATCTATTTTACAAACGTAAAATACCTCTGTGGTGATGCACTGAACTCGGGAAGTGAGGACACACAAGCTCCTCGCTCCTCTGTGGTGATCCACTGAACTCATGCTTGGCTCACCTTGGCTTTGGGCGACACAACATGGCTCTGAGAATCTGGGCACCAGCTCTGGAATGACCCCTAACTAAGGTGATTACACCAGATGGTTCTGAGCCATGAAGAGATGAACTAGCTGTTTTCCAGAGGCTTCTAGATTTAGAAGATGCCACAGCACGGGTTTCCAGCAGCATCCACAAGGCCTCACCACATTACACCTCTGACTCATTGTCCCGACCTACCAGTGGGATCGCGACATCCTCGTATGGCAGCTTGTCTTCCCGCCAAGCATCATCAATCAAATCCAAGATCCTTCCATCTCGCTGCACCTCGCTGTCCATTTTCCTGCAGCTTTGGTCTCGTCAGTTCTGTAAGCCAAAGAGGTCATAATGAGGGTACAGTATAATCCAGGACCAGGATTCCCCACATTTTAAAGCTTGAAATTGGTTTTGTTGTGGTTTGTTTTGTTTCTTAATACCATCCCAGGAAGGGCCCATCTTATATGGGTCATGTGACAACATAAAAGACTACAGCTCTTTCCTCACTTCACTGACAGATTCTTGATTGTGTATAGAGACGGTCTAGTTGACAGACAAGTTCCTAGTGTAACAGAGAGCAACACATTTCTGAAAACAGCCCTGAAAGGCACTGCATCTAAATGTAGTCTTCTTTACAATCTTTCCCTGTTTGTTATGTCTTTGTTGAGTCTCATCTCTTGCTCCTTAAGCCCTCCCCCATTATTTGGCACAAATCTCCACCTGCCTTGGCTCAAACCTTGGCACTCTTGAGACACGGAAGCTATGGGAACATGCAGGGTGACACCGAGCTGGAACGTGTGAAGTGACTAGCCATAGACCAACTGCTAACCCTTAACGCAGGAACAATATGGGCGTGCCAAGGAAACACTTCCTTTCTTAAACAGCGTCCAGACTGAGCTCTGAAAGTAGTATGCCATGATCAACAGTGGCAGCTCCAGGTTGTGTGTCCCTCTGGGCTTCCACTTCATACAGGGCTTCTCTGTAGCCCTAACTGTCCTGGAACTCACTCTGTAGACCAGGCTGGCCTCGAACTCACAGAGATCCACCTGCCTCTCCCTCCTGAGTCCTGGGATTAAATGTGTGCACCACCACCCAACGGGCCCTCCTCCTCTTTTTTTGAGACGGAGTTTCAAACACTCTCCATAGCCAAAATCAGCCTAAGCTCCTAATTCCCCCGCCTCTACCAATGGGATGATAGGCATGTGCCACCGAGGTACTGGGAATTGAACCCAGGGTTCTGTATATACTAGGTAAGGCCCATACCAAATGACCTACATCCCCAGCTGAGGAGGGTCCTGCAGGTGTCCAGGCAGGGAAGTAAACTGTGAGGAAGCGAGAATGAAAACAGGGTTCAGATTGACTTTGTCAACTCGGATCACACTTGGGGAATCTGATGTCAGGTGGTTTATTCCAAACACATTTAAACACAGTATAATTTGGAAAAAGTTACCTGGCGCAATACAATCCCCAGTGCACAAGGAAGCATAATCACAACAAAACTTGACTCAGGGTACATGTCATTTCTTCCAAGAAGATGGGTTCTAGAGATAGGCACCTGTACTTGCTTAAGGGCCCAAGGAAGGGTCTAGTCAGATCTCGGTCTCAGTCAAACAGATAGCACAGAGGCCGTTTGGACTATTAGCCACGTCTGGTCTTGGCTATGGGCGTTTGGGGGAGTCTCTGGTTATACAGTATTGTAAGGGTTATTTAGACTATTTCTCTAGTCCTGGTTGTGCGAGCTTGGTATGTCCTGGCCCAACAGATTATCACAGATCATCAAGCTATTAGTCACTTCCAATTCCCAGCCTTCTGGATGGAAGAACAGGTTTTCCTTTTTTTCCCATTGGAAAGACAATCCTGTATGCTGAACATTTCCTAGTCTCCCTGGAGATCTGTGGGTGCAAGGACCTTCATGTTGCGCTCCCAACACCCAACCCTCTTCCTCTGGAAAAAAAAATTACATTTCTTTGTGTATGTACATGTGGAAGTAAAAGGACATCTTGGGGTAAATGGTTCTCTTCCTCCACCAGGTGGGTCCCAGAGGTAGAACTCAGCTGCCAGGCTTTGCTGGCCTTTATGCCACTGAGTCACATTGCTGGCCCTCCTCAGGGCCTGGCCCCAGTGCTCCCTGACCATAGGCCACTCCTAATTTTTCTCCTGAAACAGTGGCAATCTAATCCACAAGACTGGTCATCATGGAGTACTTCTGGGTTTCCAGCTTCTAAGTTTGTTCCTTTCCACAAATATGCCCCACTGTACTCCCTGCAAAAAGTGGCAACCCACAGAAGGCCAGAAACTACCACCACCAGTGTAAGAAACAATGTAAGAAACAACCTTTGGCATTGCAGTTTAACTCTGCCATACAAGTATGCACTTGGCTCCAACAGTATTTGAGGCAAGTGAGCACTATCTGGTTTTGGGGGGGAATGGTTTTTTACTTTCAAAACTGACAAAGAAGGGGCCTGGGAGACAATTCAGTGGGTGAAGTGCTTGCTCTGCAAAAATACCCAAATTCAGATCCTGGCACTCATCCCAGAGCTGGGAGGCAGAGACGGGAGGATCTCTGGGAGATGGCCAGGCCAGGCAGTCTAGCTGAATCAGAAAGTTCCAGATTTAGTGAAAGATTCAAGGTGGAAGTGACGGAGGACGACACTGCTGTTGACCTCTGGCCTCTACACTCACCCCCCACTCCACCTCCAGGCTCGAACCTTCACCACCATCAGCTCCACCTGCCACCTAGGAACCAGGTGACGGCTTAGCGTTTTTACTTAGATTTCACTGTGTCTAGCCAGTGCTAACTGAAGGATTCCCACCTGCAGTAGTGTATAACTAATCCTTCCTGTCAGTTCTAGTTACACGTCTAGAATTCCCCAAGTTTTCCTACTTTTCTATCACTCCTTTGTTCTTGGGGCTGTGCTGTGGGCTACACTTCACACTTGCTCTGTTGATCTGACCAGGTCTATATAGATCGCACCCTTTTCTTAAGCGGTCTGACTCCTCTAGCTTTAGGAGGCTTTCTGTCCTCGAAGGCTTGCTGCTGTCCTTATGAAACAAATCAGGTCAGCTTTGGACTGGTGGGTAGGGTACTTCTGTTTCAGTGGTAACGTGTAAACGCTGTACCAATGACTCCCAATCTTTCTACAATTTGGCCTCAATATTTTGTAACATGTCCCTCTTCTACACGCTCGCCATCTGGCGTGCTTTTCATCCACCTCCTGCACGTCTTCATCAGTAATGCTTGGCCGTCCTTCCAAGCACAACACGATGACTGATCTTTGGGTGATGCAGTCGGGTACTCCCCCCTTTACATGAACAAAGAAGCAAGCACAGACAATGCCCAGGCAACCGCCACTGCGCCGAACTCTTACCGCACGTCCTAACTTCTCCGGGTTTCTTAAACATATTTTTACATATGTACCCTTCTCTTTCTAGCGCCCACCCCCACACCCGATAATACAAAACTCTCATCTCTGAGGTTGTCTCCTTTAGACCCATGCTGAACGCAAGTTCTAAGAGCCCATCTCTTCACCAGTCCCCTAGATCTCTGGGCACAAAACTTGGTAACAGGGGAGCTTGTTACACTGTCAAGAAATTTCTTTTCAAGTATTAGACGCGTAATATACATTTTCAAAATCTACAGCTTTGTAGATATAGTTCTAAGCTAAAAGCACGGCGCCGGCACTAAAACTGGCCCTCGCAGGCCACCATCCTGGGTCACTAGACGCAAAGCCGCCCGCCGCCGCCGCTTCCGGCCCGAAGGCTGGAGATACCATATGCGGAAGTGCATAGGGGAGGTGGAGCGTCGCCATGCCGGGTCCCTTCCACTCCGCGCGGCGTACAATAAAGAAGTGGCTCTGAAGGTCGGTCGGGAGCACCTGCCTGCGTGTCTGGAAGCACTGGACGCCCGAAGCCTAGGGCACACGCTTGGTCACCCTCCAAAACCCGGGCCGCTGGCGCGAAAAGCACCCTTACCCACAGCGCGCGAAACGGCTCTCTCCCGGCCCCGCCCCTCCGCCTGGTCACGTGACGCGCGGCGCGCTCGTACCCCGTACGCGGGTGAGTCCATTCGCGGCCGTGGGGAGGGGGCGGGACGAGCGTCCATTTGTTGTGACGCGCCCCCCCCCCCCGAGGAACGGCGCGCCGGCCCGGCGGGGGCGCGCTCGGCCGGGGGCGCGCTCTGTAACCGCCTGCGTGCCCCAAAGCCGGGCGAGCGGCGGCTGATTGTGGTGCGGACGCGGCCCTGGCCACAGTGGTGCCGCTAACCTCCAGGCCGCATGGCCCGCGGCCGCTGCCCGTCGCCGGCCGCCGCCTGCAGCCAGGCCTGCTGCCGTCCACCCGCGGCCGCCCGGGCGCAGGACCCCCGGGTTGCTCCGACTCCTCCATATGCAGCTCCGTGCTGGCCGGCCAGGTGCTGCGGCCTCGGCGGCAGAGGAGGGCAGGCTGCGGGCGGTTGTCGCCGCCGGCGTAGGACCAGCTCCCCCGGGGGGGGGGACAGTAGTGAAGGAGTGTGTGTGTGTACGTGTGTGTGTAGGGGACTAGTAGCGAAGCGGGAAGCCCGCAGGGTTCCCTGGTAATGTTAGTAGTAGGAGAGGTGGGGAAGTATGGCGGGACCCCTGATGCAGGGGAATTGCAGATGGCCTCCTGCCTTCAAGTCAAGCATCGGAAACAATATTGGGAGAGTGAAATGAAAGCTTTGAAAGGGCAGTTCCACAAGGCTGTAATCACGGCGACACTTGACAGTAGTCTGGATTGCAAATAGGGCTTTTGTCCTTTACAAAACCGTGGAGTCAGAGCGTTGTCGCCAGTGTGGACTGTATACTCACTTGTCCAATGTACGCCTTCACTTCCAGCGCCTGCTCTCCCTCTAAGACAGGGTTTTATTATGAACCTGAGCTGTACACATCTTTAATCCCAGCACTCAGATGCAGAGGCAGGTAGATCTCTGTGAGTTCGAGGCCAACCTTATCTATAAAGCGAGTTCCAGGACAGCCAGAGCTGTTACCTGTTACACAGAGAAACCCTGTCTCGGAAAAACAGCAACAATAAAAAATCTGGCTGGCTAGGAACTCAATTCGTATAAGGCAGGCTGGCCTCTGCCTCCTGGGTTAAGGATCTGCATCACCTCGCTTGACTTTCTAAGTTCTCTTGAGGCCAATTTAGATTTTTAAGATTTATTTAGTAAAACAAGGTAGGTGCTCAATTTCTCAAATACCTCCATTTAGTTTTAATTTTGTATTTATATTTTGTATGTAAGTCAAGGGTCAATGAATATAAATTATCTTTAGCTATTTATACTTACTCTTTTTTTTTTTAAAACTTTGTTTTTTGAGACAAAGTTTCTCTGTATAATAGCCCTAGCTGTCCTGAACCTGCTTTGTAGACCAGAACCTTGAACTCACAGAGATCCTCTGTGGCTGCTTCCCAGTGCTTGGGATTAAAGGCGTGCGCTAACACGCCCAGCTACACTTACTCTTAAAGTCTGTAGCTTAATGTATGATAAAACAAAATTTCTTATGGTATGTAACACCATCTTTAGGTTAAGTTTTGTCCCTTGTACCTGTCTTTTAGTGATCGGTATAGTAAAGGAGACTTTGAAACTAAAATGGGTCAGAGATTTACAAACTCAGACACAGTCGTTTAAAATGTGTGTACACTGAAGTTTTAACAATACAGATATTGTTAATTATGCCAATGCTGCTTCCTCCAGTGGAGCCATAGAGGACTGTTACTTAGCCTTTCTGCCCTCAAGTACTGTGTAGGAAGGAGCTGATGGTGACAGCATTAATCTACATTGTCTTTTTTTTTTAAAGATTTATTTATTTATTATGTATACAACATTCTGCCTCCATGTATGCCTGCACGCCAGATGAGGGCGCCAGATCTCATTACAGATGGTTGTGAGCCACCATGTGGTTGCTGGGAATTGAACTCAGGACCTCTGGAAGAGCAGCCAGTGCTCTTAACCTCTGAGCCATCTCTCCAGCCCCCTAATCTACATTGTCATAGCGAAGGTGCTCCCCACCCCCTGGCTGTCATAGCGAAGGTGCTCCCCACCCCCTGGCTGTCATAGCGAAGGTGCTCCCCACCCTCTGGCTGTCATAGCGAAGGTGCGTCCCATGCCAAGGGCTAGATTTACTTTTACAAAACCACAATACTATTTTTATCAGTACAAATCTGTGCAAAATACACAATGTCAGTGTCCAGAGGGATCAGGTTTCTCTTGCTACTCCATATGTGCTTGCAATACCTTGTTTGGACCAAAATTCTGCAGAGAACTGTCTGCTGCACCTGGTTGCTAGGCGTTTATCTCCTCTAACCAGCAGCAGTTTCTTATCTCCCTTTCCTATTTATTTAAAATTTAGCTGTTTGTATGTATTTTTGAATGTGCCTCTACTTCCTCTGTGACCTCTCCTCCACACACTAAGTCTTGAATTACACTGTCCAGTCATCATGTGGTAGTCATCATATAGCCGTGCTGTTTAAATGAAATAAAAGTGGTTCCCCAGTTGCATTTGCTGCATTAGTCCAGCAGTCATAGGTTGCCTAGTGGCTACTGTTTGAGTAATACAGATACAAATGTTTCCATAATTATAGAAAATTCTGTTGAAATACAGTGATCAAAATGTTAGATTCAACCTTGTTTTTTTCATGAGAGATGCAAGAAAAATGCCATAGGTGTAGGTTTTATATTAGGAAAATTATCTGTTGCATTCATTACCAGGGAGACATACGATATCTGAGTCCTCCCATTTGGGATGTTACAGTTGAGCTGTGCACTGGTTCCTGTGCTGTCAGCTCAGTTGACCCACCATGAAGTTGCTCAAGAGTCTTCTAATGAACAGGGAGATCTTTCATGACTAGCTGTGCCTGGGTCTGTTACTGCACGACGCCACAGAGTGGCACTTTCTAGTTGTGTCATGTCTTAGTGCTTGCTTAGCTGGCGCTCTGCTGAAGAACCTGCCTTCCACAACTATCTGACTACCCTGAAATATAACTGGGATAGGAACGGCAAGAGAAATGCTTAACTCTGTTCCTTTCTTTTCAGACTACATCAATGAATTGGTGGCCTAGCAACCTTCAAAGGTAACCTGAAGGCTTTACCTTTAAAACTAACAGATAGGCTTTGATATGTTTAAATCTGTGCCTAGCAATCTCCTGAGGCGACCTGAGAGCTTTACCTTTAAAAAGAAACCAATAGACTTTAATGTGTTTAAATTGTTTGAACGGATTGTAAATTTTTTGATACCCAAAATTATTTTGTTTTTGGCCAGTGGCAACTCTTCAAGACCCATAGTTTTGATAACTTCCTCCTTCTAGTTTGCTTTACCTGGGTTTTATGTAGTCTAGGCTGACCTTGAACTTGCTCTGTAGCCAAGGATGATCTTGAATCTATGGTCTTCCTGCCTCCACTTCCCAAGTGCTAGGATTACAGGTGTGAACCACCATGTCCAGCTCAGTATTGCTTCTTTTCCTTTTTAATGTGTTAGTTATAAAACACCATCGCAGTCCCTATAAAACAACGTAAATCCAGGCTTACGTGTAGCAGGTTAGCTTTAGCCCCATCTCCTCCACCGTGATTATTTCTCTCCTTACAGGTACACTGTTTCACAGTTTGTTCTCAGTAAATAAGCGCCCAACGGCAAACACACTTGCTGTTTTTGCTCTTTTCTCTTTTGGGGCCTGCCACCCAACTCCCTAATAAACACACATAGACTTATTATTACTTATGAATGCCTGGCCTTAACTTGGATTATTTCTAGACAGCTTTTCCTAACTTAAACTATCCTGTCTTCCTTTTACCACTGGGCTTTTTCCTTTTCTTCTGTAATCTAACTTCCTTTCTTACTCCATGGCTGGCTGTGTGGCTGACTATCAAGCCCCTAGCATCCTCCTCTCCTTTTTCTCATATTTATTCTGCCTGCAAGCCCCGCCTCTCCTTTCTCCTGCCTCACTATTGGCCATTCAGCTCTTTATGAGACCAATCAGGTGTTTTAGATAGGAAAAGTAACACAGCTTCACAGAGTTAAACAAATGCAACATAAAAGAATGTAATACTTAAGCCAGGCGGTGGTGATTCACGCCTTTAATCCCAGCACTTGGGAGGCAGAGACAGGCAGATCTGTGTGAGTTGGAGAACACTACTGAGTGCATGCCAGGACAGGCTCCAGAGCTACACAAAGAAACCCTGTCTTCAAAAAAACAAACAAAACAAAAAAAGAATGCAACACATCTTTGCATCATTAAACAAATATTCCATAGCATAAACAAATGTAACACATCTTAAAATAATATTCTACATTACACATTTCTTTTACTGTTCTGTGTCTTACTCTTTTTACCTTGTAACAGATCCTCCATAGAAGAAGTATTGTGATTGTTACCTCTTTTTATAGCTTCTTAGTATTCCCTCAGTGAATGAATATTAAGTGATTTCCTACTTTGTGAATAATGCTGCCGGGAATGCCCTTTATACATCTCAGTTGATATTTTTCCAGTAAGCAGGACTGTGTATATGGCAGGTCTTGCCTTCTTTCTCGTTCTCTCTGCCTTGCTAAAAACCCTTAGATTAAATTCCTAAAGACAGCAAATTCCATTCCCTTATTGGTCACTTTCTTCTCCTGAGACTGACTACCAAGATCCAGCTATCAGTCCAGCAGTCAAAAGCCCCCTGTGGCTCACCTAATTAACATGCCCAATTTAAAGAAAGCACCTCATCTTAACACAGGGATTTTCCCTTTTACTTTATAGACCACCGTTTGCCTTTGCTCCACCATCTGCCTCCTCTCTATCCAGAGGCAGTCCTTTGTCCTCTGGGACAAATACCCATCCCTGCCCCTCTCCCTTGTTCCTTCCCCTTCTCCCTCATCCTTTGTCTCCCATCTTTGTCTCTTATTCCCTACCCTCTGTTCCTCTCCCTCTGGGTCAAACAAATCTCATTTGTGCTGAGAACTTGGTCTCCTTGGGTCCTGAGTTGACATTTTTCCCTTCAGGCTTCAGCCCAAAGGCTGTTGTGAATACTGAGTTCTGCCTGTTGGCTGGCTGCAGAGGCCGCGTTCGGTGTCGGTGGTAAGGAGTGGCAGATCATCAAACAGTTTTTACTTAAATCTGTATTGATTAGGGACACAGAATACTCTGCTACACAGTCTTGTGTCACACAGCTCCTTCAAAGAGGAAACAAGTGACTTGTCTGAGGTGAACGAAGGCCATGTTGGTTAGGGACAGAATCAGTGTTGTGGCTGTGAGAAGCACGAGACAACCAAATCCGCAGGAAGTCCAAGTCCTCGCAGTTTATCTGATCCTGGAGAATGGAGACCGGTGCAGAGGGTGTTGCTAAAGAAGCACACCTCACATTGGCAGGCGTTTTTCCAGGACGCGTTGCCGGTCTTCTGTGCCTGTTTTAAACAAGAATGCCTTTGTCTCAGGATTTCATTTTGAGCGGGTGGCTCGCCTGACACCTTAATAGCTTTATCACAGTGCTGCTGCCACCTAGTGGCCACAAGGCCACATACTTCAATTTTATTCTGTTTCCCACCGAGAAGATCTCGTTAAGCATAAGAAGGCAGAGTGAAATAAAAGGTAGCACATGGCTCGGACCAGAGGGTCACACTGCTTGGGTTTGAGCTTCAATATAGTTTGTAGCTTTCTGTAGTGAAGTCATCGTGCTCTCTAAGGCTGTTTCCTTAAAGTGATAGCACCTGTGTATACATACACACATATACGCACATACATTATATTATACATATGTATGCGTGTATATATAACATGCATTATACACACATATTTTTATGTGCATTCGTGTTTTGTCATGAATGTTGGGTCCCCTGGAATTGGAGTATAGACAGTTGTGAGCTGCCATGTGGGTGCTAGGAATTGAACCTGGGTCCTCTGGAAGTGCTCTTAATCACTGAACCATATTTTATGTCTTTTATGGGTGTACAGAAGATAGAAAGTGTAAGAGGCAGGCAGATAAGATAAACAGTCACTAAAGTTTAACATCTATTATACACATTGTTATTAAATACTGTCATACACAAATGCCAACAAATTATGTATTATTAAGTAGGTCCCTAAGAATAATGTGACCTAAAGAGGTGTAATTTTGAGAAATAGTTATAAAGATGAAATAAGACTTTGGCAGTTACTGTTCATACCTTCATTTTACAGATGGAACAACTGAAGTCCGACAACTCATAGCTGATTAGTTGCAGAGCAGAACTGCTTTATGGGCCTCTATTTAGTGTTGAGTGGACTCTTCTGCCTCCCGGTTCTGGAGCAGAGCAAAGGCGGGGCCTGAGTGTAATTTGTAATTTGACTGGTTTGGAAGAAAGTGGAGTCCTCTCCTTTAGGGTTTTATTTTGGGTCATGGTGAAATCTATCAGAACACTAGCTGGAGGAAAGAGCCCACACCATGCAAGAAGAGTGCACAGTGTAGAAATAGGTGCAGATCCAGCACACTTGTGCTTTTCCCCCTCTTCTCATCCTCGTCTGTCTCTGGAGTCTTCTGCGTGTCCTCCATCCCTACATTCATTGCCTGGGATGGTGAGCATTTCTGTTTCTTTTTCAGTCCCATGCTGGGGTATTCCTTGGGAAGGAGCATACCTTTTATTGCTATCTAGAGAGCAGTTTGTATAACACTGATTTTGTAGACTGAAGCAATCTACTTCTCAGAGAAATACAGTTTTTTGAAAAGCATTAGGATAGAGGGACCGAATCTCTACACCCTAACCTTTAGCTAATTCATGGTTGAGACTTTGAAAGCTTAAGGAAAGAGGACAGTTAAATTTTATGTGTATGAGTGTTTTGCTTGCATGTTTATCTGTACACCATACACGTGCCTGCCGATCCTCTGGAAATAAAGTTATGGATAGTTATGAGTTGCCATGTGGGTGCTGGGGACGGTATGTGAGCTGGGAACTAGCTGGAGATTTAAAAATAGAGAGAGAGAGAGAGAGAGAGAGAGAGAGAGAGAGAGAGATAGGGACACAGTCATCCTTGAAACAAGAATGCCAACTTTATTGTGTTCCAGGGATCCTTAACTGATAGCCACGCCCCAGCTCTTGGGATTTTCAGCTGTAAAACTCATCAGAATTCACTCCCCTGCCACCAGGAACCACAAGGGTCTCGTGCTCAGAGTAGCTGCAGGCACAGGAAAACAAGTTGTTTCATTCCAGCAGCAAAGGGTCTGAGGCAGGCAAAGAAAGTCACGGGGCCAGGAGTCTGCAGCTCCCAACAGGGAATCAAACTTGGGTCCTCTGCAATAACAAGTGTCCTTAACGTTTAAGCTTTCTTTCTGCCAATAGGACACTTTCTAAGTCATGAAAGGTGGTTGGCCAAGGAATGTTTTGAGGATTTATGAAGAGAAACTTACCACACAACTCACGATACTTCTGAATTTAAGGGTCTTTTTCTTTTGTATGACTTTCTCTTTTCTATCTCCCCTCTTTGTCTTTAGTTGTAGCAGTTTGCATAATGAGGAAGGGGAGATGGGGTCACCCAAGGCATGCAATGGTGCTATGTTGGGACACAGCTCAGTTCTCCACTGCAGAAATGAGTCTTGTTGGTTTTCTGTCCTTGAGAGACCGGTGGTCTAGAAAAAAGGAGGAGCATGCAAATTCTGTGTAATTTGGGATGACTGGTGGGGGAGTGTGTCAAAGACAAGGCACCATGCAGTGCTGTTGACCCTGTTCTTAGGTTTCAGGGGACAGAGTATGATGCAGGAAGTTTTCTCTTAGAGTCAGTAGGGTCTGTTGCTGACCTGGGAGCTTAATTTTTTTTTTTTGGCGGGTGGGGGAGGGAGCGTTGAGATAGAGTTTCTCCATATAACAACCCTGACTATCCTGGAACTAGCTCTTGTAGACCATGCTGGCCTCAAACTCACAGACTTCCTTATTTTGTTTTATAAGTATGGGTGTTTTGCCTGCATGTATGTTTACCACATGCATACCTGGTGCCTGCAGAGGCCAGAAGAGGGTGTTGGGACTCCTGGAACTGGAGCTACAATTGTGAATAGCCATGTAAGTTCTGAGAACTGAGCCCAGGTCTTCCTCAAGAGCAGGAGTGACTACTGAGTTGTCTCTCCAACCCCTGACGAGGGAGTTTAGCCTCTGTATAATGGAGGGAGTTTAGCCTCTGTATAATGGCTCTAGTTTTAAAAATCAAGAAACCTATGCTTGAAAAGCAAACAAAAACCCTTGTGTTATGTGAGTGAAAAACTATTTCCTCTCATTTTGTAAAGAGGTTTGTAAAAGTCCCTTGAGAGAAAATGCTTTCCGCCCTGTTCTTTAAGGATTAGGCCTAGCAGGGCGGGAGGGATGGCTCAGCAGTTAAGAGCATGTACTTAATGTTCTTGAGGATGACCAGAGTTTGTTCCCAGCTCCCAGATCTGGTGACTCCAATGCCTCTGGCCTCTGTGGTACCTGAACATATGTTTACACACCCATGCATAAGCACACAGTTAAAAAAATCAATAAAAAAAAATCAACCTGACAACAAAAACAGCAAGCCAAGCGTGGTGTTACTACTCAGGAGGCAGAGGCAGGTGGGCTTCTCTGAGTTCAAGGCCAGTCTGTTCTACTTAACAAAACTGATACCAGGCCAGCCAGGGATGTGTAGTGAGACCCTGTCTCAAAAATTAAGTTAAATTCAACAATGAATGAAAAGGCCTAGAATAATTAGGTGTTTCATTGATTTGCAGGATAATGTCAGAAGCAATTAGGATTTTTTTCTTTTAGAATGTATTTGGTGCTAAGCATTTTTTTCTTTCTTCGAGACAGGGTTTTTCTGTAGCTTTGGTGCCTGTCTGGAACTAGCTCTTGTAGACCAGGCTGGCCTCAAACTCACAGAGATCCGCCTGCCTCTGCCTCCCGAGTGCTGGGATTAAAGGCGTGCTCCACCACCACCCGGCTGTGCTAGCATTTCTTGAGTGAGATTCCTTGCTTCTACAGCCGTCTTACCCTGCTCTGTTTCATATTGTGACTGCTTTCATTCACATTAGGTTGAATGTTGGGATTGAGAACAGTGACTTTTCTCACTCTCTTCACCTTTCCTTTTCTTTTTTCTCCAGTTGCCAGAACAAAGGGGATTTAGCGATGGAGGCCTTGTTGGAAGGAATACAAAATCGAGGGCATAGCGGGTAAGTTTGTCTTTGACTGGGAGCTTCTTGGTGCAATTTAAAAGCTTATCTGCTTCTGGTAAGCAGATGCTAAGTTGAGCCACTGTACATTTGTGGATGGCATCCCTCCCTGCATCTCAGTCTAACAGTACCAGGGTGGATGGACTCTTGCTTCTGTCCTATGGTTCAGAGGGCATCGGTAGGTGGAGAGCAGTGAGGTAGGTGAGTGGGTGCGTTCCCAGTAACATTTGGAAGAAATAATTGCAATAGATGTTGCTCAAGGATGAATTTTTTGAAACAGCTTTTTGTTTGTTGGCTGGTTTTTTAAGTATCTTTTCCCTGCACAGTAGCCCGTTTGCTGCCGTGGCCATTCATTTGGGCTAAAAGAGTCGTGACATAAGCTTGCCTGGATTCTCCCAAGAGCGTTCTAAAATATCCCAGCAATGTGGTTAGTAATAGTGAAAATCTGATTTGGAAAGCCAGATGTAAAACAACCATCTGTGTTTTAAGTGGCTTCAGCTTTAGGTTACACACTGGAGGAGAGCAAAATGGTGTATAGAGTAAGCAGCCCACTGAGTGTAGGAGACGACAGCGTAAGAGCAAGGGCACAGACATCCTGGGTGTGCTGCTGCGATGTTTTACTCTGTCAGCTGGGCTTCGGCTGTGGTAGTTTTATCTGTGAAAGATGAGAACCCACGTGGGCATAAGTGGTGTTGGTCTGTTGGTGTCTGTAGGGGATTTTTGACGTCCTGTGAAGCAGAACTGCAGGAGCTCATGAAACAGATCGACATAATGGTGGCACATAAGAAATCTGAATGGGAGGGGCAGACGCACGCGCTGGAGACTTGTTTGGACATCCGCGATCGCGAGCTGAAGACGCTGAGAAGCCAGCTGGACATGAAGCACAAGGAGGTAGCCGGGCTGTCACTCTTCTTGCTCTCACCTCTGGGCCTCAGTCTGAGTATCCAGGGTTCTGCACGCCCGTGTCAGGGTGTCAGGCCCACACCCCAGTACCCTCGGTTCACTCTGTTATCCAGGGTTCTGCACGCCCGTGTCAGGGTGTCAGGCCCACACCCCAGTACCCTCGGTTCACTCTGTTATCCAGGGTTCTGCACGCCCGTGTCAGGCCGACACCCCAGTACCCTCGGTTCACTCTGTTGGTAGTTTGACATTTTGTACTAAACATGTTTTTTAAGTATTGTTAAAAAAAAAAAACATTTGTTTACCAAATTAGTTTCTTCTTTGCTTTTTCTTTTTTGGTGTTTATTCCAATATTTATGGTTTCTTTTAGTTGAAAATTTATTGTTAAAGTGTAATAATATTAATATTTACTTTAAGGACATTTTACTTTGCAGACGTATCATACATTTTTTTATGTAAGAAAGTGTCAGAGGAGCTGGGGCTATGACTGTGTTGGTGCTCACTGTGCAAGCCTAAGGGCCCATTGATAAAGATGAGCATGGGGCTGTGCCTCTGTAACCTCAGCACATGAAGAGAGTGGAAGACAGGGCCACGTAACCTTTGCATAACTTTTATCAAATTACATGTCTGTATTAATGTCACCAAGTTTAATAGGAGCTGGTTTTGTCTTGCAAATTTTGATAAAAAACAAAGTTAAGTCCTGGGGATATGGTTTAACCATAGAGTGCTTACTTAGTATGCTTGAAGTCCTAGGTTCAGTTCCCAGCATTATCTCCCAACCCCCCAAAAATACAAAACAAAAACAAGAATTGAGTCCTTATATTTAATAATTTGCCTCTTTTGTTAAGTTAACAAATCAGGGCTGGAGAAGCAGCTCAGTGATGGAGTGTGCCTAACATGTGCACAGTCCTGGCCAGGATCTCCAGCACTGTAAGCTAAGTTAAGGAAATCTATTTCAGAAGGACCTTTGTTTAAAACTAAGGGAGACCCACCAGGTGGTGGTGGCATACACATTTAATTCTAGTACTCGGAGGCAGAGGCAGACAGATCTTTGTGTTCAGGGCCACCCTGATCTACAAAGTGAGTTTGAGGCCAGCTGGGGCACATGGAGAAACCCTGTCTTGAAAAACCAGACAAAAGTAAAAAAACTAAGGGAGAAGAAGGAAAATAAAATAAATTTGCAGTCCTATCACTCACTAATACTGATAGTGTTGGGGGAAGTTTAAGAATATTCCCTGATTATTTCTCCTAATTCAGCTGGTACACTAGGAGAACACTGAATACTGGAAGGGAAGCAGGAAGTATTGCAGGTGGAAGCATTGTCTCTAAGTTTCTATACAAATTAGTCTGGGAATGAAGAGCTGTAGGTAGATGCTAACCCCAAACCTCATTCTTATTTTGCCAGCTTTGCCTACATGGGATTTGCCCTCATCAAGGTTAATACAGCTGACTGCTATGGCAGGACTGGCAACACAACATTGTGATTGGTTGATGATACTGTGTACATGCAGGAAATTTTCAAATAATTAAAACATTATCTCCTAGTGCACTTAGAGTCAAATAGCACTTTAGTAATAACATCTGTATCAAATTTAGAATTTTATAAATGGTTTATTTGCTAGTCTAGAGTTTATTCTAAAGTTTAGTTAGATCTTTTAAGAATATAATTTATGCAAAGATTGGGAAGGTGATGAAAAAGCACACCAAATGACAGTCATATTGGATTTTTAAAAAAAGTACCAACAACCTCCCTCCCCCAACAACTTAACTTGCTGGGTCAGTGATTAAGAGGACCAGCTGTCTTTCAGAGGACCCTGGTTCAATTCCTAGCACTCATAGGGTAGCTAACAGCTGTCTGTAATTCCAGTCCCAGGAGATCTGACACCTTCTAGGCATGCATATGGTGCACAGATTCATGAAGGCAAAACACACATATAAGAATAAACAAACAAGCAAACAAATCAATTTGAGTAGACCCATGCTGCTTTTCTGGGAACTACTGTGGCTTCTTCACTTCTCCTGGGGCAAGACAGAAACAGTTATGCTCAGTAACTGAAGTGGCAGCAGTTTCCTGGTTCAGAAAACGACTGTATGTATTGATGTCTAGGTTGTTTAGTTTGTTAAAATCCACAAAAGAAACTCACTTTTATAATTGTGAGACTATTATTCCACTCTGAGGCTGAGTTTGAAATTACTTTTCTAGCTTAGTTTCTAGTTGACTTGCTGCTTCCTTGATTGAGTTGTTAGGAGTTGAGATCAGGTTGATTTTGATGGAGTCTGCCACTGTTAACTCCAAGTTGGAACAAATGAGAGTTTGAAGCCCTCTTTCAGTGTTTTTCAGCTGAAAGTTTTTGGACAAGTAGCTTCAGCCTGCTCCATCATGTACAAAGTGGAGACCCCTATACCAGTACTGCTGTGAAGACTGAGACCACCTTGAAAGAAATAAGTGATATCTAAAGTGACCCCTGAGGGTTGGGGTCATAGCTCAGTGGTGAGGTGCTTGCTGACTTCTGTAAGCTGTCCACTGACCTCCGCACATGCACATGCATGCATGAGACATGCACACAATGGATGAAACAAACAATTAGTAAAGAACATCCTTCAGATGGATGACCAGAGCTCCAGGAAGAAAATCTAAGCAAATAGTGGTCAGATGCAGCAGCTTATCATACATTCAGTATTGTGCATAGTGAAGTCAAACTGGTGATGAATGGGATTAAATTACATTTTTAATCTCAGGATTACCACCAGGGAATTGGAAATGTGACCATCTGACATTAGACTTGTTATGTCAGTGATTCCTGTGTCAGGCTGAGGGAACCTTAAAGTTTATACTAGTTGAGAATATTGTTCAGGTTAATAGAAGGAGATCATAGAATGATGAGAACAGAGTCAGTCCAAAGAGAGCAAGCAGTAAGGAAAAAAGGTGCAGGGCTTATTAAGTATACATAGCACATAAGACAATAATTTAAATTCAAGTGAGTCCGTTAGGCACTGACTCAATTAAAAGACAAAAATTAGCTAACAAAGTGAAAATAATGAACCACGGTTATTTAATGATTGTAAAAGCACATGAAGGTTAAAAGTAAATGTCAAAATAAAAATAGCTGCCACCCAGACACTTGAAGAGAAAGATGATGTAACTGTTCATGCTAGAAAAAGCGTGCTTGAAGTGGAATCGCAGAGCTTGACTAAAGGGGACAGCGGTGCTCCATCTGCAGGGCGTCAGTCTCAGGATGGCAGTTGTCAGTGACACTGTTTCATTCTGTGCCACATTCCCTTCCTCTGACTTCATTCTCAGCCATGAAGTATGGCTTTCTGTGTCATCATCACTCCACTGCACGCGCTCCTCTCTGGACCTCGGAAAGCTGCTCACCCTAAATCTACAGCTGTGGGGTAGTTAACTTTCCCAGGGCAAACCTCGGCAGGGTGAGGGTGAGTAAGGTCAGCAGGCTCCCATTGCTCATAGAGACAGTTCTGAAACACATCTGTTTGCTTCCTTAGTAGGTTCCCAGGAACACAGCTCTAGCTGCTTACTGTGGTCTTCTGCCCAGGAATAGACCCAGTATGGCCCTTCCTTCCTGTCACCTCACTGTGCTTTCCACGGTCACTCCAGTTACCTGTTCAGAAGTCTACATCTCAGATTGCAGGAAAACTCAAAATAGGGCAAAATAATACAGTAAGATAGTTTTAACCTTTCTTAGATGTATGCAAAAAGTACCAGGACTGTCAGTAGGAATAATGAAGCCACAGTCATGCTTGGGAGTTTCAACACATTTTTCTTAGTAACTGATGGAGGACATTCATAAAGATACAGATTTGAATAGCGTGATCAGCAAACCTGACCTAGTTTGTAACTATAGACCATGACACAAGGGAACTGCAGAGTGTGCATTTCTTTCCAGCACAAACTGATTGATTACCAAAATCGACTCTATCCTGGGCTGTGGAGTGAATTTTGCCATGAACAAAGGCTTGAAATCACAGATAAACTCTCTTAACATAGCAGAAATAACTGAAAAATCTGTGCATTTGGAAATTAAGAAGTAAGGTTCTGAGTGACTCAGAGAAGTCATAATAGAAATGAAAGGTAGTAGATAGAACTATAATGAGAGTTGCAGGGTGCAGTTGTGTCCAAGAGGGCATAAGAGTATGTCAGAAGAAGATAGGTTGAAAATCTGTAGGAAGTGATTTATTTCAGAGGTTAGGAAGAAAGCTTGTTAAATCCAAAAAATTTAGAGGAAGGAAAATTGAAAAATATACACCAAAATTTGAAAGTAAGAATTTGAAAATATTGTGCCATGAGAAGACGTTCAAAAGAAATGGAGGTAACTTGGGCTAGCAAGATGGCTCAGCAGGTAAGGATGCTTGCTGCTAAGCCTAAAGATCTGAGTTCAATCCCTGGTACCCACAGAGTATAGGGAGAGTACTAATTCCCACAGGTTGTCCTCTGACTTCTACTTGGTAACTCTAGTAATCCAACTGTCAGTAGTTAATAACAGTCTTAAAATGTACAAAGCAAACACAGGATTTAGGGAGAAATTTTATTCATGGAAACTGTAGAAGCCTTAACACAGCTCTCTTGCTATTGATGGAACAAGTACATGGAAAGGCAGTTAAGGTGGAGGGTTGACCAAAATCAACTTGACCTAATTAATTTTAAACATGTTCTTTTAATGTGACTGAAGCATTTTATTGCTGTCAGGCAGCTACAGCAGATTAAATTGTGTGTTTTTGTAACAAAGTAGTTTTAAGCTAAAACAACACAATAAAAGACAACTTTTCAAGTACTTAGAAATTAAGCAATATACTTCTAAAAAGACCTTTCAAGTACTTGGAAAAGCAATATAGTCCTAAATGACCCTCATTTTAGATTTGTTTATTTTATTTATGTTCACCACATGCATGCGTGGTACCCAAGGAGGTCAGAAGAGAGCGTTGGATCCCCTGGGACTGGGATTACAGATGATTGTGAGCCACCATATGGATGATGGGAACTGAATCATGGTCCTCTCTAAGAGCAGTCAGTGCCCTTCATTGCTGAGCCAGCTCTTCAGCCTCCCAGATACCTTTAAATCACGAAGAAATCACAGTAAAAATTAGAATATACTTTGATAATGAAAATGACCGTCCTGTGGGTCACATTTGTAGGGTTGGATGAATGCCCAGTGGCAGAGTGTGTACTTACACATGCAAAGGCCTGGGTTCAGTCCCTGTGGATCAGTATTTGTAGGACTAGATGAATGCACAGGGGCAGAGTATGTGCTTGTCTCTGCAGAGGCCCTAAGATCAGTCCTCAGCATAGAACCAAGATAAACTGAAAAACAACACAGCATGCCTCTCACATGGTACCTAAAGAGAATTTTACCTAGCTATATCTCCAGATATGTTACAATAGGAAGGCTGAAAATCAGTCATTTAAATAACCATTTTAAGAAATCAGAAAAAGCTGGGACAGTGGCTCAGTAAATTGTTTGCCACACAAGCATGAGTTCAATCCCCAGCACCATGTCCACTGCAGGTGTGACTGCACACATCTGTAATGAGCAGTGGAGGGTCCTAGTCTAGCTGACCAGATGAGCTATGAAATTGTTGTCACTGGTATCCAGTCACTGCAGAATGGGTTAGGATCCCTTCCTTACTCTGATAGTCAGGGAAATTATGAAGTAAGTAGTAGCTACTCACTGTCTTTCAGTCTGTCTCTGATGTTACTGAACTGTGCTTTACTTGTAGAAAGTTTTACAGGTTTCTAAAAGTGAAATATTTTTGGTTATAAAAAATTTAAACATATGCTATTTTTATGAGAACTTATTATTTATTTTAACAAAGAGAGTTGGGGAAAAAATCAGACAAGGAGTGTGAGTCTTGAACTAACTTTAAATTTGTAAAAGAATTATTCGTATTTTAAGGCTAACCATGTAGATACATTGAGAATGTTAGTTTACAAGGAAATGCAAGGATTAGTTTTTCTGTGTTGCAGGGATATTATTTCAATGCTAATACTGAATTGTACTACCCCTTTCTGCTTTTAGATTGGAATGCTGCATCAGCAGATAGAAGAACATGAAAAAAGCAAGCAAGAAATGGCCATAGAGTATAAGCAGGAGTTAAAGAAGCTGCAGGAGGAAGTGAGGCTTTAGTTCTGTGATGTGATGTGATGTGATGTGATGTTCTTTCTCTGTAACCCTTGACTGGTGTTGAGAACTGGTTACTACTTTATATGGTAGGAAATACATATCGTACAGGATACCCTGTGGGAAGTATGTGGTAGAAATATATTTTCTGACCTTGAATCTCGACAAAGAATCTTGCCTAATACACTTGATATTACCTAAACCAGCAATTGACTGAGCACCTAAAGGAAAAAGAGCTATGATACTAAAATCTTGATACCAGAAAACTTAATATTTTAATTTGTAAGTTAATTCAGTAGCTGGTTTTTAAATATTGAAAGAGACAAAAGGCTTAGAAATATTTTGGGATTAAGAAAAGCAAGGGTGCGCAATGACTCACTGGGTAGAGGCCTGCAAGCTGTCCTTTGAACCTCCCTTGGTAGGCTATAGATACACACTCTAACCCCTCCCCAACACCCTACCTCCCACAAATAAAGAAATAAATATTTTTAAAAGCTTTTTTTTAAAGGAAGAAGATTGGGAGGCAAGAGCTAGCTCAACAGTTGAGTGTAGTGCGCTTGCAGAGCACCCCAGTTCAGTTCCCAGCACCCACATTAGGAAGCTCACAACCACCCAGCACTCCAGCTTGAGGGATCTGACACCCTCTTCTGGCTTCCATGGGCATCTGTACTTGCATGTACATACTCACGTAGAGACATAATTAGAACACACATAATAGAAATTAAGAATAAAATCTTTAAAGTGAAGAAAACTTTATTGCAGTATTTAATTTACTTTTTAACTTTGGGGAAAATTGTTTTTGTTTTGGTTGAAGTCAAAGTCTGTTTACTATGCATTAATGCCCTAGGAGTATGTCTTGAGACCACTGACCTAAAGGGGAACAGTTACTGCTTCCTCTCTTATGTGGAGTGGGTCATGGGGGTCTGTGAATGCATTGCAATTGTAGTAGAACCAGACTTTTTGTTTTCCTTTTTCTGCCTGGAAATTTCATTGCTAGCATTTATTTCTCACACATACACACGCAAGCAGGCGTGTACTTTGAGGTAAGGCTGATCTCAGATTCTTCATGACCTTGATCTTTTGATTTTTTTCCTGCCTCCACTTAGCTGTGTGATAACCACATTTGCTACCACACACAGTTTATGTGGTCCTGGGCATCCAGCCCAGACCCAGTGCTGACTAGGTCAGCACTCACCAGCAGAGCTATATGCCAGCCCTAGAATTTTTAGGTGTTCTTTTTATTTTTTTTTTATTTTGTTTTGCAACTCTAGCATGCTTCCAATCTATTTTCAATAGGATAATTTAGTACTGCTTTTGCTTTATAATCCCAATTTGTCTGACCACCACAATTTACTAGCTCTTAAAATTTAAGTTAATAAGTAACTGTTTTTACAGTTAGGCAGACTGAAAAGAAGCTATGAAAAGCTGCAGAAAAAGCAACTAAGAGAATTTAGAGGAAATACCAAAAGTCTGCCGGAGGATCGGTCTGAGATCGAGAGGCTGACTGGAAAAATAGAGGTATGTTCACAGCAGTAGTCTCAGTCGCGACCATCAGCCATTGTGGAGGAAAATGCTATTTCCCATGAACCCGTTTCCTGAAGCGAGTTCCTGCCATCTCGGGGGCTGCCTCTGAGCTACTCAGTAGTGGGTGGGTGATCCACAGTACAGCCAGCCCATCATCACTTGCTCCCCTGTGGCTGATGGGGTTCTAGGCCGTCAGTCATTCTCAAGAGGGTAGTTCTACCCTGCAGGGCCCTTGGAAATGTGTGGAAGTTTTGCTTGTTTTTTGTTATTGTTGTTAAGATGACGGAGCGTGAAATTGGCATTTAGGGTACAGGGAGCAGGGGTAGCCAACATGCTTGGGACTGTATCCTGGAGAAGATCCTAGTATTCAGTACCTCCTATTGTGAGAACGGTGACCATCAGTTAGTGTAGCAGCATCCTGTTATCATCGTGTTCCCACACCTAACTGCGTAGGTGTTAGCAAATGTGGGGAATTCTTGGCTTTTTCTTGCAGAGAGTGCTCTGCACGTCAGGTGGTTTAGTTTCAGTTCCCATTTAGATGGGGCCGGAGTTACAAAGGGTTCGCCTCCCTCTGCTGATTTTGTATTTGCTCTGCAACTCCGTGATTACTGACAGGAGGCAATGAGTTCCCTCTCTGTATGAGCTCTGCAGTGCCTTGTAACAGTCACCAGGGTGCTTTGCAACCTCAGAGAGTCTGATTCAGAGTAGGCATGGGATCTAGGAATCTACACTTTACCCTATTTGAGAAACACCAGTCAGCACCTCTGTGTGACTACTTAAACATTTTCTGTTCTGGGTTATCTGTCACACACAGATGCCAGTATACTTTACTGTCTTGAACTGTAACTCTCATGCTTAATGCTCTTTTATACTTTAATGTTTTTATAAATTTAGAACTTGGACTCAAAATACCACACACATACTGCTTTCCCTCTAGCCGTCTCCACTGCTACCTTTTCTCCCAGCCCTTCACATCCTTATCATCAACCTACACTACCAGCCATGAGCACAGAACCTCAGGAGTTATCCTCTGGCCAGTCCATGAGTATGGCAGACCTTTCCATTCTCAGTGTTTCTTCCATTTCCTTCTTTGGTGTTTTAAAGATTTCGTTGAAGAGATTGATTCTTGGGTTCTTGGTTGTGTTATCCCACGGCATATGTATGTGTGTGCATATGTGTATTTACTTAATTCTGCATTTAATTTAATAAATAATTTATTTTAAAGCTGTTGTGAATGAGATTACCCTTTTGAGTTCTTTGTCAGGGTGTCTGGTATTGGTTATTGAAAAGCTTCTGAGTTTTGTGTGTGGACTTTATATTTTGCTCCTTTTCTGAAGATGTTCATCAGTTCTGGAAGCTGTCTGGTGGTGGGAGTAGAGTTTCATGTACGGGATCATTGTGTCCAAAGAAAGGATTATGTGACTTCTTCCTTTATTTGTATCTCTTTTCTTCCTTTAGCTTTTTGCTCTAAAACTCCAAATACTATTGAATAACAATGGAGAAAATGTATGTCTTTACCTCTCACTCTTCATTTTAGTGGCAATGTTTGGGCTTCTCCTTATTTAGTATGTTGACTATAGGCTTGCTATATATGTCCTTTATTATGTTGAGATATTATTCTTTACTGTTAGTTTTTTCAAGGCTTTTATAATGAAAGGCTATTAGATTATGTCAGAAGTCTTTTCTGCATCAATTAAGAGGGTCATGTGATTTCTGTCCTTGTGTCTGTTAATATGATGCATTATGTTTGTATATGTTGAATCATTCTTGTATCCTTGTAATGGTGCATACTTGGTCATAGTGAATGATCTATTCTTTCCCTCTAAGGCAGTGTTTATGTTTTCCAGTAGGTGTGTTTCTTGCAGGCAACAAATAGATGAATCCTATTTTTTAATTCAGTTAACTAGCCTGTGAGGGAGAGAGATACAGAGAGAGGTTATATAGAGTTGAATGTACACATGTCTTTGTGTGCCCATATAAGCACATGTGGAAGCCAGAGGGAGAAATTGTGTATCTTCCTCTGCCAATTTCAAGTTTATGTTTTCAGACAGGGTTTCTTAGTAAACCTGAACCTTGCCATTTTGGCTAGGGTGGCTGGCCAAGCAAGCTCCTGGGATCCTATTGTCTCTCCCTCCAAACACTGGAATTACAGGCACACACAACCATGTCAAGTTTTTATGTGGGTCCTGGGGATTTGAACTCAGGGATTGTCACTTTCTCAGTAAGCACCCCTACCCACTGAGTCAGCTCCCTAGCTCTAGTCTGTGTCTTTTGATTAGAGAATTGAAACCATTGCTATTCAGAGATACTAGTGAAAGTTACTGTTCATTTCTGTCATCTTGTTTTGTAGTGTCTGGTGTCCTCCTAATCCTCATTTGTCCACTGAAGTTTGTTCTTTCCTGTTGCATCATGGATGTTGATCTTTCTCATCAGTATGTAGATTACTTCAGTATTACTACAACGAGGTCAAGAATTCCTCTAGTTTGTGTTTATCAAGGAAAATTTTTCTCTTTCCTTCAGTTCTGAAGAATAGTGTGTTAGTAATATTTTGTTGCTGTGCTGAATGAAACACTATGACCAAAACCAACTTGGGGAGACAATTCAGTTTACAGCTTATAGTCTGTCACCAAGGGAAGCCAGGACAGGAGTTCGAACAAAACAGAAACGCAGGCAGGAACTGAAGCAGAGACAATGGAGGAATGCGGTCTTCTGGTTTGCTTCCTCGACTTACTCAAGTGCTTTTCTTACACAGCCCGGACACATCTGCCGAAGGATGGCATCTCCTACCACAGTCACTAATCAAGAAAGTGCCCCACAGACATGCCAGTCTGATGGAGGCACTCTTCCCTCTTCCCACATGTCTAGTTTGTGCCAAATTAATAAAGCCAACTAGCACAGATGGTTCAGTGGTTAAAATAATCTGGGTTGGCAATATTGTCTTTCAGAGCTTGAATTACATTGTAATGCCTTGGCTATTAGAATTTTCATTGAGAAATCTTTTATTCTGATGACTTTACCTTTGTGTATGTATTTGTGCCTTTTTCTTGTAGCTTTGGTGCTCTCTGTTTTGTATGTTTAGTGTTTAACTATAATATGATGTGGAAAGGTTCTTTTCTGGTCTTGACATTCTAGGTGTTTTTTGTGTCTTGATTGCTCAGCTCCTGTATTTGGGTTTTAACCCATAGCGGTGAGTGTATTTTCTGCTACTTTATCTTGATCTTCTCACTCTTCTATGCTAATGAATTATAGATTGATCTTTATGTATGTATGTGCACATGTGTATGAACATGCATGTGTGTGTGGTGGCTAGAAGTCAGTGTCCGTTACCCTCTACCTTACTTTTAGAGACAGAGTCTCTCACTGAACCTGACACTCACTGATCCAGCTAGCCTGGCTGGCCTTTAAGCCTAGGGATCCCTCTGTTAATACCTCCTTAGCACTGGAATTTCAATTGTGTACTGCCATGCCCAGCATTTTCTAGTGAGTGCTGGCCTATATGCTTGCATGGCAAGCATTGTTTACATTCTAAGCCATCTTACCAGCCCCTACATTTGGTCTTGTAATGGTATCCTGTGGATCTGTACATTGTCTTCATACTGTCTTATTATTTTTTTTTTAAATATTTAATTTAGTTTTATGTGCACTGGTGTTTTGTCTGTATTCGTGTCTGTGTAAGAGTGTTCGATTCTTGGAACTGGAGTATAGACAGTTGTAAGCTGCCATGTGGATGCTGGGATTTGAACCCAGGTCCTCTGGAAGAACAGTCAGTCTTTTCAACTACTGAGCCATCTCTTCAGCCCTGACTTTCTTATTATGTTTCTCATTGTCGGGAAGTTCTAATTCATCTGCTTTGTCTTCAGACTCTAAAACTCTTATCTTTGATTTGGTTTATTGGAAAGACTTTCCATTAAGTTTTTATTTGATTCAATAAGATTTTTATTTATAAAATTTCTGTTTGTTCTTTTTTTTTTTCAGTATTTCTATCTCTATTGAATTTCTCTTTCGTATTCTGTACTGACTCTCTTATTTCATTTAGATGGTTGTTTATGTCCTCTTTGAATTCCTTCAAAAGTTTATGTCCTGTGTGATGTCATTAGATATTCTTATCTATTTATTCATTTAGTGTGCATGCCATGTACATGTCACCCTCCAGTTGTGTGGCTGGGCTTTTTTGTTTTTTAAATACTTTCTAAATCGGTGCTGGCACATATGATGGAATGCCATACAGACTGACTGACTGACTGACTGAATGGAATATCAGAAAGCTGAAATAACAATCTAAGGAACAATCTAAAGCTGAGGATTCTTGGAGGACAAAGATGGGACGATTGAGGGTCTTTTTTCTTTGATTTGCCTTATTTTCAGAAATGTCAGGCTCATTTTCATGGTGTACAATTTAAAATTCTGTTCATCAACTATAACTTTTAACTATTTGGCTCTGGGTTGTGAATAAATACCTGTTAAAATGTGGTACATATTTTCCATATTATTCAAGCTTTTGCAATTCTGTGGAATAATAAAACTTTGACTATCAAAAATACTGGTTTAGTAGAATATGAAGTTAGAATTGGGCTATTGAGTTACTGATTTTGAAATCTGTCCAAAGCTCTTCAGTTCTGGGTGTGGATGTCAGGAATTTAGATGGCAAGGGAAATACTGTTATTTCAGATCACTTCTCTGTAAAATTATACGAAATGGTAACAGCCCTTAGGTGGCAGCAGACCTGTGAAGATGCCCATGAGCCCACTGTCAGGTCTGTTTCTTCTTCTTTACCATCAGGGTGTTAAGTTTAGAAAGACAGGCACCCACAGTGTGAGAAGAGTTCATTATTCCTCTCCTGCTCAGCCAGCTAATGGAGCTCCTGCTGAGGAGAAGGGCACCGCTGCATCCAGGAGTGGGAGGCTGGGAAGCAAAGTGAGGAGTGTCACAGTCCAGGAAGCACTTAGGTATTGAGTACCATAACTGTCTCCTCAGGAATTCCGACAGAAGTCTCTGGACTGGGAGAAGCAGCGTTTGATTTATCAGCAACAGGTGTCTTCTCTGGAAGCACAAAGGAAGGCTTTAGCTGAACAGTCGGAGATCATTCAGGTAAGAGTAAGCTGTCCAGCAGACAGGTTTTGACTGAATTAGACCGACTGCCATGCACCTTCTGATGGTTGTTGTTCTTTCTGGATTCTCTTTGCTAACCTTTGCGTGTCAAGCCCATCTTCCTCTACTGTGGCTTAGCCTCGTCAGCATCTAGAGCTCAGCTCCTCCTCTCCCTGCCTCACCCTTCGTCCACATTGTCTTCACTCTCCTAAATTTGGTTTCTACCTATCCCACCGTGCCTCTTCCCTCTCTCTGTCTCTCTTCCCGTTTCTTTCTGCTTCTGTCATTGGTTTTTTTGTCTCTACTTCCGTCTGCTTTGTTTGTTTCCATGACAGGTCGAGCACTTTGGCTAAGGTGCCTCAGCCAGAGATCTCAGTTAGTTTGGCTGTTTGAAAAGCATCTCACTGCACTGGTATGCACCCGAATGAAAATAATGTCTTGTGGCTACAGAAACTAATGACTTCAGCAAAAACTAAATAGACACTGAATTTTTTCAGGATATGTCTTCTTGGGTCATAGCCAGTTCTTTGCCTTTTTCCTTTAAAATCAAGAAGACAGAAAGAAATAAACAGAGAGAGGGTGGTGAGTTTGTATAACCACTCTCTGTTACCTGTTGGATACTGGTCAGTAGGTGTGTTATTTGAGGTATGACAATCCATCCACACTGGTAGTTCTCAGATTCTAGAATGCCTGTAAGTTCAGAGAGCTAGAGGAAGATGTTCTTGTTTTTTTGTTTGTTTTTCTTTTAAACCTTCATCTTCTTTGGCTCCCTGAAATACCAGTTGTCTGGCACACTACTGTGAGTGGTTTTGTTGTGAGGAACTCTGCCGAGACTTGCAGGACAACCCTACACCCCATAGAACAAAGACTGTATTGTCAAATTCAAGAAGCTACCAGCCAAAGTGGGACTGTGGAGCCCTCATTGAGGGAGGGCATGGGATGGGGTGAGATTTTAACCTAATTGAGAAAGCCCTACGTTCTTAAAGGCTATACACTGCTGTATTCTAATTATAGCCATTAGACTGGGAAAGAACAAATTGAGTTTTTATTTTTTTCAGTTCTCATTTTATTCATGTTGTTTATTGATTACATAGCCTTTAAGCCACTACTATCAAATTACTATTGTGATTAATTCTATGTAATTCAAACTTCCTTGTTAGTAAAAATAGAGTTTTTATTTACCATTCACTTGACTAGAGCTAAAATAAGACACCTTTAAAGAGCTGACGTCTGTTGTATCCACTAAGAATGTTTGAGTAATTCTTATCATAGTTTTAATAATTCTTATCATAGTTTTGTTTAAAATAAAGTTATCTGATAAATGTACTTCTCTTTCTCCTTTGGCAAACTAAACAAGAATTAAAGCTTCTTGTGATTCAGTTTGTGTCAATCAATGCTATATGATTATCATTCTTAAACATTTAATTAAACTCTGTGTGCCCATTACCTAGTGTTAATAGTTGTCATCATCTTGTCAATCTTGTGTATGAGTGGGCGTTAGAAATGTATTACAGAAATGTACCTAATTTTCTTTCTTTCTTTCTTTCTTTCTTTCTTTCTTTCTTTCTTTCTTTCTTTCTTTCTTTCTTCCTTCCTTCCTTCCTTCCTTCCTTCCTTTCTTTCTTTCTTTCTTTCTTTCTTTTTCTTTTTTTCTTTTTTTAAACATGGTATTACTGTGTAGTCCTGGCTGTCCTGGAACTCACTATGTAGACCAGACTGACCTCAAACTCACAGAGATCCACCTGCCTCTGCGTGCGCACCACCACCTGGCTATACCTAATTTTTTCTTCAGTGTGGTATTGAACTTATGGCCTCACTTATGCTAGGCAAGCACTGTACCAGTGAGCTAAACCCCATGCCATCTAAACTGGCTTTCTGTGTGCTGTTCATTAGTGTTAATAACATGTCTACATTTTTGTACAGCTGTTATTTGGAACTTTTTTCTTCTTTGTTTGGATATGGCATTAAAAATCAGTATATTTTCTTTTATCTATGTATATGGGTGTTTGGCCTGCACGTATGCATGTGTACCACTGTGTGCAGTGCCACAGAGTCAGAGCAGGGCCTTGCATTCTTCGGAACTGTAGTTACAGATCCTTGTGTACTACAGTGTGGGTTTTGGGAACTGAACCCAGGTCCTCCAGAAGAGCAGCTTATGTTCTTATCTAATGAACCACCTGTCCAGCCTGATTCTTTCCATCTTGGAAAACTAAAACTGGGTACACTTTTACTCTTTATTTTTGGCTATTAAAATATTACCAAGCAGGCCAGACATGGTGGCACACTTTAGTCCCAGCAATGGGAGGTAGAGGCAGTTGGATGTATGTGAGTTTGACTAAGCCAGCCTAGTATGCAGAGCGAGTTCCAGGATAGCCAGGGCTACACAGAGAAACCCTGTCTCAACTCCCCCACCCCAAAGTTACAATGCAAATGAGACTATCTCATTTCAGAGCACGTAAGGACTTAACATTTCTATAGTATGACAGAATGACATTAATAGATAAATCATAGCAATATAAGTTAATATTCACTCTGTGCAGTTTTCTCCAAGTGTCTAAAAGCCACCCTTCCACTGTTGGCTGTATGAAGCAGAATCCAGTTGAGCTTGACTCATTACATTTAGCTGATATGTAGGAAAGCAGAAAATCTGGGAGACTGGGTAAATCTTATGAGAAAAAATTCTTAAGTATTTTTATATCTAAAAATTAGATTGAAAAATAACTTCATGCTCTTTGAGTCATGCATTTACTCCAATTCTTCTATTCGGCTATTAAAATTATATACTTCATGCTCATTTTAGAAAAATGAGGACATCCTTTCTATGACTTTTTTTTTTACAATGTAATTTTGGAGCTTCAAGGAAGCCATTGTTACAGATAGGGAAATTGCTTAAGAACAGCATGGTTGGAAGGAGCCAGGGCTTTGATCTTTCCAGGGAATCCTAGTAGAAAGGCCTAGTCATTGCAGCCCCAGCCCTGACCTATCTCCCCATCAGTGTCGCCTCCAGATGTGTGCACGCAGGCCATCATATCCCAGTGGGAAGCCTCTGTGAGCACCTCTGACCCCGCTGTGCCTACCGTCCAGTGCAGGTTGACTTGAAGAGTTTTCTGTCTCCTGCTGTATCGCCCTCTCGGTGCTTTCCTCCTTCCACTGTCTTCTGTGGAGTTGTAGTAGCTCCCCTCTTCATTCAGTAAAACAATGCTGAATGCTTAGCAAGTAAGGAAAATTTCTGCTTCCTTGAAGTAATTTGTACATGAAAAGATTTCTCATATATTTACCTTTAAATGCTTCTAAAGTCAGCTGTTTAGGAGAAGTGATGATAATTTTAGTTGTTTTTGTGGTTTTCATACTTGCTTAGTATTGAAGAGGTATTCTTGATGCTAGTGCCACTGCAGGAATATAATGTGAGTTGCACAATTTACCATTCTTTTTGTAGTTAGATTTAAAAGGTAAAAAGAAATTAATATGTTTTATTTAACCCAGTATGTCAAATATTATCAGTTCAGAATTTGCATTCTTTTTTAAAACCAGGCCATTGGCACTCCCTTGTGCGCTTTACATTAGAGCATTTCTAAAATCAGAATAGCCACAGCGCAGTGGTCAGTCTCCAATATGTCTCTTACTGCTCTAGTGCACAGTACAGCCTGAGTATCATTTCTAGTCAGTGCCAACACTGTCTTTTTACATGAGTGAAATAGTGAATGATTAAAAGAAGACTTGGTTTTCAAAACTGAGAAGCTAATTTAAAATAGCAAATCTGGTTACACTGTTGTTTAACACAGCTAAAGCTTCAGAACTGAATTTGCTTCCAGTGTTACATAGTCATCTTAGTGTTACATAGTCATCTTAGTGTTACATAGCGATCTCAGTGTTACATAGCGGTCACAGTGTTACATAGTGATCCCAGTATGACATAGCAATCACAGTGTTACATAGCCATCCCAGTGTGACATAGAGATCACAGTGTTACATAGCGATCACAGTGTTACTTAATGATCACAGTGTTACATAGTGATCACAGTGTTACATAGTGATCACAGTGTTACATAACGATCCCAGTGTAACATAGCGATCACAGTGTTACATAGCCATCTTAGTGTTACATAGCGATCCCAGAGTGACATAGAGATTCCAGTGTTATATAGAGATCACAGTGTTATATAACTATCACAGTGTTACATAGTGATCTCAGTGTTGCATAGTGGCCACAGTGTTACATAGCCATTTTAGTGTTACATAGCGCTCCCAGTGTTACATAGCGATCACAGTGTTACATAGTGGTCACAGTGTTGAGTTTTCTGTGTTGTCTGTCCCCCAGAGCTCTCATTTGGGCAGAGGTTTCCAGCTGTGTCCTGTGAGCTCCAGGCTAGTGGATAGGTTAGTGTTGGAGTGAACCGAGGCTCAACAAAGAGCCACAGACTTTCTCCTTCCTACCCTCAACCAATCTCTGTATTTACTTCTGCAGAGGGTTCTGTGGAAGATATCTTCTTGGTAAGAAGATTAAATTGTTTTTGAAAGTGTGGAGACAATTGCATACATAGCAGTTAGCAGTCAAGCTGGGTTGACTGTCACACACACCATTCTAGGGATCTGGTCAAAAGACAAAGCAGTTGCCTCTACACTAAAGCCTTGAGCTCTCATTTTCACAAACACTGTTTGTCTGTCCTCCCTTCCTCCCTCCCTCCTTCCCTCCCTCTCTTTCTCTCTCTCTCTCCCAGCAGCATCTTTGTGTCACCATAATATAAAGTACAAGAGTTTGATATCCTGTATTGTATACAGTAGAATCTTTAAATCTGTAGCAGATGAATTCCACAGAGATATTTCTGTTTGAATTTCTAAAATAAAACTGTGTGTCTTTTTCTTAAAAGATGTTTAAAATAAAGGAAGTTAACCTTTACAAATGATTCATGTCCATTTTGAATGTATAGATGAAAAACCAGTTTGGATACTGAATTAAAACTTGAGAAAACCAGAATGTGGAAAGCCAAAATACTCAGCTGGCGTGCAGAGCTGTAAGGCTAGGCACTGTACACCACAGGCCCACAACACAGTTGCTTGGAGTCCTTTGATTTGAGTAGACTTTGATAGTGATGCCACTGGAAGGAACTAATTTCAGCTGTTTATATTTGGTTATATCTGTCAGCTCAGAAGTCTCCAAAACCCGCTGATTGAACCAGTCCTTCCTATGAGTACTTTTTCCTCAATGAATAGTTATTATTTTATTGATTATTCTTTTATCACTTCTCTTTTCCTATTAAAAATCCCTAATAATAATTTCTAATAATAAAAATTAATATCTTTCTAGGCTCAGCTTGCTAACCGGAAACAGAAATTAGAGTCTGTGGAGCTGTCCAGCCAGTCAGAAATCCAGCACCTGAACAGTAAGCTCGAGCGGGCCAAGGACACCATTTGTGCCAACGAGCTGGAAATAGAGCGCCTTAATATGAGGGTCAATGACCTGATGGGGACCAATATGACTATCCTGCAGGAGCAGCGGCAGAAGGAGGAGAAACTGAGGGAGTCTGAGAAGTTATTAGAGGTGTGTGTTAGAATGCTTAGGTTAGGGAAACGTGTACGAGTGTTTAAGACTGGTTGACCTAGAACTATGTTCCAGAATTCTCAGCTTCCTCCTTGAGCTGAGGCTGATGGCTCAGCTGCTGATAGCTGTATTAATACTGTCCTTGTCATAAAACTTACAGTCAGCCTCTCTGGTTGCTGCTTTTCTCATGAAATAGAAATGCTGTAATGTTATCTGACTTTTTTTTTTTTTTTTTTGGAGTATTTTGCAGACTCTGCAGGAAAAAGAGAGAGCTGAAGAAAAGTTGTAATAATATCTGACTTTTTTCTTTTTGCAGGCTCTGCAGGAAGAACAGAAAGGATTGAAGGCAAGTCTTCAATCTCAAGAAAACTTCATCCTTGAGGCAAAAATGCAGAAGGAGAAACTGCAAACAAAATTGAAGACAGTTGACACTCAGCACCCCATAGAAAGCATGAGGTCTGTTCAAATCTTAAGTATTATTCTGCCAGTCCATTTGAAGGTTTGGCATTGAATGCTGATTTTAATATTGAACATTTACATTTCTGTGTTTGATCATCTTGTCTGACTTGGTTTTAATTTATGAGTTAGATTCTCATTATCATAACATTTTCATGGATAGTTTTGTCTCCTTTTCATTTGAGTCTCTGTGATTCTGAGGATCATAAACTGAGAACTCCTTATTTTTTCCTCATTGGCTGATGAACCTCCATGCTGTAGGAGACTAGGGCATAGCTGCTTGTCGTCAGTAACAGCCTGTCACTGAGCTAGCCCTTTTGAAAACTGATTTTATTGTATTATTATTGTTATTTTTTGAAACAGGATCTTATGTATCCCAGTCTACCTTCAGAATTAATACTTTGAGGATGATGTTGAGCTCCTGATCCTCCTGTGTTTATTTCTCAAGTGCTGGGTTTACCAGTGCATGTGACCACATCTAGTCTCAGGGCTTCATGCATGCCATGGGAGTACTATACCAGCTAAGCTGTACATCCCCAGCTCTGGGTTTGTTTTTCTATATCTGTTATTGCTAGGTTTATAGTAAAAAATAATTAAGTGAATTTGTTTAAGTCGTACATCTTGTCATTTATCAGTTAGCAATCAAGTTTCAACAGAGTGGTTTTGCTGTTTTATGTGCCTTTTCCCTTTGAAAAATACGCCAAATCCTAGTAAAGATTAAATTGCTGCTGACCCTGGATTGTTCTCCTGGTATATATTTCTTTTTATCCACAAAGCAGACGGCAAACTGAGCTTAATTACGAGAGCGGTTGCGACAGCAGGCTGGCTCTGCACTGTCTTGTTCCCTCCTTTCCTGCCCCTCAGGCCGCTGGAGAAGTGTCAGGCAGAAAGGAAGTTCCCGTCTCCAGGCCCAGGAGTCCTAGATAATGTGCTATCACAGCTGGACTTCAGCCACACCAGCGAGGAGCTCCTGCAGGCAGAGGTGACTCGTCTTGAAGGCAGGTAGATAATTAGCTACATGTCTGAAACTTCACGTTTCAAGTTGTTAGGATGAACTTTGATCTTCTTGGTGACTCAGTAAAATAATAATACAGTGTGGAAAATAAAGTTGATTTTCCCCTCTAGCATTCATAATGGCCTTGCTTCCTAATTCATTGAAAACATAGAAGAGAATGTCCCATCTTTCTGCCAGTCTGCCTGTATCGGGCCTATGGTCTGTTGAGATGTCTGAGACTGACTTGCTCCTGCCCTGATTTCCTCTCTGGGCTCTTTCTTTAGTATGATTTATATGGACAGAAAGTGTTCTGTGATCTCTTCCATTTTGAAAACAGTTAAATTCCCTTTAAAACTTTTACCTGTACCAAAAAAAAAAATTCCTCTTTCTTTGTTCTTCAAAATCAAATTCTTCAAGATTTGTGTGTTCTGACTGTCCTCACTTCACCCTTTGCCTTTTTAGGCCCCCTGTAGGGGCCTGAATTCAACTTTCCTCTCTACTACTTCACGGAAACTGTTCTTGGAGAGGACATAGTGGGCACGTGTTATTTCTTCTTTTTCGCCTATACGGTATGATTTAGATTTTCTTGTATATGAATTGAATTCTGGCTAATGGCATAGTATACTGTAGTATTTGTTGTATATAGCACAGTGTAGCCCAGCATGGCACAGTGTAGCATATCATGGCATAGTGTAGCCCAGCATGGCACAGTGTAGCATATCATGGCATAGTGTAGCATATCATGGCACAGTGTAGCATATCATGGCATAGTGTAGCATATCATGGCATAGTGTAGTGTGTCATGGCATAGTGTAGTGTGTCATGGCATAGTGTAGTGTGTCATGGCATAGTGTAGTGTATCATGGCATAGTGTAGCAGGTGATGCTTATTTTTGCCAGAGTTACAAACTTTTAGTTTATTATATTTGTAAACATTTTTTACTAGGCAGAGCTTGATAAATTTTTTTCAACTCATATCATAATTGCTTGTGTGCTAATTTTTTGTGTGTGCAAAAGATAGGTGAAATATTTACATAAATATTAGCCATGCTGGGCGGTGGTGGTGTATGCCTTTAATCCCAACACTCGGGAGGCAGAGGCAGGTGGATCTCTGTGAGTTTGAGGCCAGCCTGATCTACAGAAAGAGAGTTCTAGGATAGCCTGGTTTACAAGAGCTAATTCCAGGATAGACTCCAAAGCTACAAAGAAACCCTGTCTCGAAAAACAAAACAAATTAGCCATTAGGCAAACAGAGAAGAACAAGAAGAAATGCCACTTTGCACTTTCTAGGTTGTCTTTATACATTACATCCTTTTGTTTCACTTTGCTGTTTCTGGACGGCACTAGTATTGGGCGTGCTTTGTTTGCTCACACTGTCAACTTTACCCCTTTTGGAGTATGTGAGACATTGATGATCACTATTGAGGTAGATGTGTTTACTTTAGATGGAGTCAAATAATGCTTACTATTATAACTAATTATTACTGTTATTATTATTATTTGATTTTTCAAGACAGGGTTCTCTGTGTAGCTCTGGCTGTCCTGAAACTCTATAGACCAGGCTGGCCTAGAACTCAGAGATCTACCTGTCTCTGCCTCTGGAGTGCTGGGATTAAAGGCGTGTGCCACCACCGCCCTGTGAGTTAGTATTCTTTAAAGGTTGTTCTTGAGGTTTTTGTATAGTCTGGCATATGTGTCACTAAGGTGATGAAGTTTGCACTTGTGACAGTTCTTGGTAGCTTTCCCTCTCTCATACGGTTAGAGAAAAGTCATATGGCTATCGTAAAACTATTAGTAAAGTTGGTGTCTTTATAATTCTGTAACTAGTTCAGTTTAAATCAAGAGGAAGAGTGGAGGTAAACATTGAAGTCAAAGCTACCTCAAAGGTTTGGGATGGACTTGCTGCATCTGGTTATGGGCAATTGGAAGGGACTTTTTAATATGGGGTATGAAGTTTAAGGTATTAGGAGGATGTATCTTGGGCATCAAGAGAGTACATTTAAATAATCCATTTTATGGATTTCAAGAATTTTATTTATATGTGGTTGTATTTCTGCAATACAGTTTGGAATCTGTGAGTGCAACTTGTAAACAGCTGAGCCAAGAATTAATGGAAAAATATGAAGAACTGAAGAAAATGGAAGGGCATAACAATGAGTACAGGACCGAGATTAAAAAGGTGAAGCCCTGTGTGCCTGGGTCACAAGGTGGATGTATTTATGGGCCAAGGCGCGAGTGGGGAGACTGTTAGTGAGGGAGCTGTTTAGGAGTACGCTTGGTGGAAGTCTGGCTGGAAAGAAGAGGTTCACTGGGGAAGGAAGGGAAAAGAGGATGATGGGGAGATGATCATATACATTGTGTATATGAATGAAATTGTGAAAGAATCAGCAAATTAAAAATATAATTGAAATGTGTTCACTTCAAACTCTAAAACTTTCTTTTAAACATCATAATGGTTTCCAAACAATTGTATTGTTTCTTATAAAAACATATTATGTGAGCTGTCATTTAATATTTTGTCATTGGCTAAATATGTATTTCCTCTTTGCTGTGATGCAGTTAGTGTCCTCCTTGACTGTTGAGTTATTGAGAGCCTTTCTATTAGAGGTTCCTGGCCCAGGTATGCTGGTACACTATAGTCCTAGCACTTGAGAAGTGAAGACACAGGAAATCAAGGCCAGCTAGGCTATACAAGGCTGTCTCAAAATACCAACAATAAATTAGTAAAGGGCTCTGGCTCTCTTTGTTGGCATTTATTTACTTGCTTATATAGAGGCTTGGTCTTGTTATGTAGCTGACATGGGCCTCAAACTCACAATCCTCTGGCCTTTGAATTCCGACTTGTGTGACATCAAGCGTGGTTTAATTACATTTTCATTACTTCCTGAGTTATTCCTAGTTTGAGTGTATCAGTGTGTGCATGCATGTACACACATGTGTTCATATGTGTACATAGAGCCCAGAAGTAGATGTTGGGTGTCTGTCTATTGCTGTCTCTTCCTGGACATTCACCCCCACCCACTTTGAGATGGGATTTCTCAGGGGCTCTTGCTGAACTCAGTACTCATTGGTTGACTAGCCTAGCTGGTCTTTGATTCCAGGATGATCTGTGTCCTCTCTCCCTATGCTAGGGTTACAGACACATACAAACTGCCAAGGCATGTTTTACTGGGTGCCAGGAGTATAGACAAGGCCCTCATGCTTCTCCTGTAGGGGCATCGTAGCTTGAGCCATCTCCCCAAAAGCTCTTGCTCCTTTCTTCCTATTATCTTTTATGCCTGTTCTGTGAACCAGAAAACCAGATAAACAAACAAAAAACAAAATTTTAATTTGTAGCTGTGAGAAGAATGAAAGTCTTAGGGCCCCCTACATAAATTGGGCATAGACCTTGAAATTGACCCTCAATGTTTGAGTAACTCATGCTCTTCTGATACTTAATACATGATTTTAAGTTTAACTACCAGACTTTCAAAATAATTATACAAGTTGGTAAATTGCTCATTTCTGTCTATTTAATCTAGGAATAATTTTATGTCTTGAGTTAAGATAAGCATTGCATTATTAATGTTTCATATATTTTCTTAGTTAAATTATGTCCATTTTAAACATTGACTTGTCAGTTTCATAATACATACTATGTACTGCTATCATATTCACCACCATTACCTTCTTCTGTCCCCTTCTACTGCTGAGCTCACCTTTCCCATCTAGCCTCTCTGCTGCTTTCACTTCGTTTTGTTTTTTAGGATTACTGAGTTTAGTTAGGGTTGCTTACATAACATTGTTATTTACTGGAGCAGTTTGCCAGTGACTACACCATCAAAGAAGGTGACACCCTTCCCTGGTAACCATTAACCAAGTGTCTTTCTCTCTAAGTATTCTTTTCTTCTAGGGCCTTCTGCATGCTAGGCAAGTGCTATACCAATGAGCTGTATCCCCAAACCTCGATTTTTGAGATGGGATCTTCCAGTGAAGTTCAATCTGGCCTCGAAATCACTGACTAGAGCAGGCTGGTCTCAGTCTTAGGGTCTTCCTGCCTCTGACTGCGCTTCCTGAGTGCTAGAATTAACTCTGTACATTACCATATTCCCAAATTCTAAATCCCGTCCTGCACTTTTGATGTTTTGTGCCTCTCTGTAGTTGAAAGAACAGATTCTGCAGGCTGATCAGACCTATAGCTCTGCGCTGGAAGGAATGAAGATGGAAATCTCCCAGCTGACTCGCGAGTTACACCAGCGAGATATCACTATTGCTTCTGCCAAGTGTTCTTCTTCAGACATGGAAAAGCAGCTGAAGGCAGAGATGCAGAAAGCTGAAGAAAAGGCAGTAGAGCATAAGGTAAAGTCCACCCAGAGCTTTCTAATTGATATTTGCTTGTTTGTTTTCAAAGAATGAATTTGTTCAAGGTATAACTTCCATATTTACTCAGTGAGCTTTTAGTAGACACCTATTTTGGATGGTCAGCAAACAGTGTAGTGAGGGTTGGTGGGGAGGTTCGATGGATACAGACAAGGATATAGACATTGAGTGGGTGTGACACAGCACGTGGCCTGAGCAGTGTGCGAAGGCTGTAGAGGGAAGTACTGGCTTCTAAGGATTCTTGGCTGGTTTGATTGGCTAGGCTTTGTGTTTGATTAGACTGGGATAGCAGAGTAGACTGTGAAAGAAGCTGTTGTTGAGGAAGTTAAGTAATACTCTGTAATGAGACAGAAAATAGCTGAAGGGTTGGGGAGGATGATACAAGTCTTAGGGAAGCTAGTGGAGGGGGATGTTGGTGTGGCTCATTTGGTTTCAGATAAAGCCTGGACTTTTATATGGGAAAACTGGTTAGTTGGCTCCGTGGAGAGACTGGAATCCAAGGTTTAGCCCTTTAGTTTTGGAAGACCTTGCATGAAGTTGGCATTTGAAATTCCCCTTCGTCAGACATAGTGGCTTTAATGAAAAAGCAATAGAGTATGCACAAGAGTGACTTGAATTAGACTTAAGATATTTCTCAGTTTGGGTTTAAAAAGATAGTGGGAAGCCGGGTGGTGGTGGTGGTTAATCCCAGCACAGGGTGGCAGAGCAGGTGGATTTCTGGGAGTTTAAGGCCAGCCTGGTCTACCAGAGCTAGTTCCAGGACAGCCAAGGGCCAAGGCTGTTCAGGGAAACCCTGTTTTGAAAAATAAAAACAAACAAACAAACAAACAAAAAGAGATAGTGAGCTGGAGCTTTTACAGGCAGTTTCTGCTGAGAAAGAAGGTGTGAAGTCTTTTCATAGAGATAGTCAAGTAGAAAATCTCAGCAGGGCGGGGACTGAGCAGTTTATCAAAGTGCAGCTCCATGTGGTATTGGAAAGTGGAAAGATCAGGGGTGGAGGCAGGTTGTGACTACGGGTTTACCTGTGACCTGAAACTTTCCCAGCTCCCATCCATCACTGGGAGTGACATTTAATTGCATGCATGCTAGTTTACGTGCTAACACCTTTGACACATTATTTTAAAAAGGATGTGTGGGGCCTGGGAGATGGCTCAGGGGGTAAGAGCACTTGCTCTGTAAGAATGAGGACCTGAGTTCAGACTCCCAGAACCTACATAAAAAATCAGGCATGGCTGCATGTTGTGTTCTATTACCCAGCATTGTGGGGGCAGGGTGGGGTGGGGTGGGTAGAGACAGGTGGATTCTGAGAACTCGCTGGCTCTGGCTTCTGCATACATGCATGGCAGGCACACTTGTGCCCTTATGTACATACAACACACACAGTATATGTGCACACTTTTTAATAAGTTTATCTATATGAATGGAGGATGTAGACGAGAATAACTAGACTAGTGAAAATTAGCCATGGAAAAGCTTTGTAAGATAATTTGATTTATGTGAGTTTTTTTCACCCTGATTTTCCTTCTTCAGGAGATTCTGAGTCAGCTAGAATCACTCAAGTTAGAAAATCGCCGTCTTTCTGAAACAGTGATGAAGCTGGAACTGGGCTTGCACGAGGTACCCACATAGACACTTAAGCTGTTGTACTTTTGAAGCCTTTAAAAGTAATTTGTAAATATTGATGTTAGTTGGAGTTAGAATTAAACTAGTGAAACAGTCCCTTGGTAGGTGTAGTCACAGATGAAATGCAAGTATCCTACTGCCAGAGGAGTTTTTGCTGCAGCAATAGAATAGTTTTCTGTTCTGTGTGAGATACGATGCTTGTATAGTCTGTGTTCTCAGCAAATAGAGTGTCTGCAAAGGGTTCAGCATGGTGCTGCAGTAAGCATGAAATGGATCCTGGTGCTGGTCTTAGTCCTGTGTTCTTGTACTCACAGTGTCTTTTTATTATAAAGTATGCCATCTTTGAAATAATTCAGTTTTTATTGCATTTCAATGAGGTATATTTTATTTTGTCAAATATTCTAGAATATTTAGTTAAGTGCTAGATTGAACATTGGATGAATGATCAAATTCTTGATTCTAAAGACATTCCACTAATTTAATAGAGACCGCGAGAAATACATAATAGCTACTGTGAAATCAGAGAGGACAAGATTGACTTATAGGCAGTGTGATGTTCTTTAAACATTTTATTAAAAAATTCTTATGATTTATAAAATGATACATCTATTCTGACCCATCTTTTTTTGGTATAGGTCAAATGTCTGAAGACTGAATTCTTTTCTCTGAACTTCTAGGGAGTGTTCTGCTTCCAAAAAGATGTATAGTCACACAAGGCTCTCTCTTTGCTCCTAAGTAGTCCCAATTTCACAATCATGGAGGCTGAGATGGAAGAAAATGCAAAAGGCTAGAAGAACACTTACTTCCAACTAGAAAAATAGGGGACTAGTTCTGTAATCTCTCAGGTGGGAAGATTCTCTGAGCATCATGAAACCATAAAGGATTTTACAACATAAAAATGTAAAATTTCTGGATGGCAAAAGACTCCATTAAAAAGACTAATAATAGAAGCCAGGTATGGCAGCTCATGTTTATAAACCCAGCTACTCAGGAGGCTGAGGCAGGAGGACTAAGAGTTCAAGCCCAAACTGGGCAAGACCCTGTGTCAGAATAAAAGTAATAGCAAAAGAACTGGGAGTGTATCTTAGATGGAGAGCAATTGCCTAGCCTGCGACTCTGGATTTGATATCCCTTGCACTGCAAAAGGAGTAACTAACTAACTAACTAACTATAAAACAAATGACAGACAAGGAGAAGTAACCTATAAGCAGATGCAGGCTATCAAATAAGAATGTCCTAAAGAGTAATAGGAAAGGGATGCAGAAGAAAAATGGCAAAGAACTGAGTAGATATTTCATAGAAATTTAAATTCAAGTGAGAGAGGGAAGCTGCTTAACTTCCCTAATAACCAACAATTTTAAAAATAAAATTTCTCTTGCTAATGGACTTGATAATGCTTTAAAAAGCTAATGTATGGCTTCTGTTGGCAAATATTAAAAGGACAGGTTCTGCTGTGCACATTGATATGACTTTCAGGAAAGTTTGGCCGTGGACATCAAGCTGTAAATACATACAGCCCCAAGTACACCGGGGTATTTACAGCTGTGATATTAATAGTCATGTTCTTCAGTGTCCCCAGCAGTTTGCATTCCCAAAGAACCCATCTTGTAGGAGTAAATGTCTGGAAGTGGGCACAGCAGTATTATGAAATAAACTGGTTACTAAAATGGTTGGTCTGTGACTGTACTGTGAAATATGCTGTCTTTAATACAGCAGATGGGAATATTCATTCAGTTTTGCCCCCACTCCACATCCCTTTGATATAATGAAAGTTGTTTTTTTAAAGCACAAACTTGTATGGATGGGGAAAAATAGGAGAGGAGACAGTAGCCAAACATTTACAAAATGTTTGCTTTTATTTTTGTGTGTGTGGTATATGCTTGTCTTCATGTGTGGGGGCACATGTGTGTATGTGTGTGTATGAATGGAATCTAGAGATTGGCACTTGGCATCTTCCTCTATCATCCTCCACGTTACGTACTGAGGCAGGGTCTCTCACTTGAACCCTGAGCTTGCTGACTTGGCTGATCTAGTTAGCCACCTTGCTCCAGAGATCCTGTTTCCTCTTTCTCAGTTTTACAGGCAGTCTACCAGTCCACTCGGCCAGCATTTACATGAGTGTTATAAATCTGAGCGCTGGTCCTCTTGCATGGCAAGTACTTTGCCAACTGAACCGTCTTCTCAGTCCTATAACTCAACATTTTATAAAGGAAGTGGAAGATGGATGGAGGGCAGGGGTTGGGAAGCCAGTTAGCTAACGAGCTGTCTGGCTTAGTGACTGGATGGATGGACGATAAATGGGTGGATTAGTGGGTGAGTGGGTAAGTAACTGAGTGGGAGTATGGACAACAAATGACCTTGTATGCACTGGTAAAGCCAACACTGAGTGAATAGTAATTCATGAACTAATCTGATTTATACTACAGAATCCTTTAAGAATATATGATTTGGCAGTGTTAAAGATTTAGGGGCCCCTACCTGATAGAGTGATTCCCTGTTCACATTCAGAACTGAGAGCTTTCAGGAATGTCACAGTTGGACTCTGCCCAGAGTTCTGTGCAGCTGAGCTTCTCCTGAATCTTAGTGGGAACACTGACCCTTCTTTACCCCACTAAGTACAGGCCTGCTACCCAGTTGTCATGCTGCCTTCACCATTCATGTTCCTGGAGTAGTTGTTAATAAACCACTAAGTCTTGGAGATTCCAGGAAGATACACGGAAAGACAAGTATTATATTTTTTTCATGTATGTGCAATGGTTCTCAACCTTCCTAATGCATTGACTCTTTAATACAATTCCTCACATTGTGGTGACCTCCAACCATAAATTTTTTTGTTGCTACTTTATAAATGTAATTTTGCTACAGTTATGAATTGTAATTTAAATATTTTTGGAGATAGAGGTTTGCCAAAGGGGATTGTAGCCCACTGGTTGAAAAATGCTAGTTTAATGATTTTTAGACATCAAAGTGGTAAAAAAAATCCTGTCAGTCTTAGCTTTCTGTGTTTCCAGAGTTACATACAGTGTGGATATCTTGTACAAATTATCAAAACATAATTATTAGGAAGTACTTTTTGCATGCTACCACCCGGGAAGGTGAGATTACTTTTCTAAATTAATCTAATTATGGTAATGAAAGCAGCAGCTCTGATGAATATTGATCACATTAAAGATGGGTGGTAGTTGACAGTGTAGCCCTGTGTCCTGCAAACACAAGGATGGGTGGTAGTTGACAGTGTAATCCCGTGTCCTGCAAACATGCTTCTCTGAGATGTGTCAGACATGGGCAGCTACTGAAAGATCTTGTAATTCCTAGTTTACAGGTTTATATACACGTTTGTGACGTGACAGGTAAATTATGTTTATCAGAGCACTATTTACCAGCTAGCTTTCACAATTTTTTCTTTACAGACAATGAAATGCTAAACTGTAAAGATCACAATTATGTTTTAGAATGCTAATTGAAATCTATCATTAGAAAACAAAATTAGACCTGTATTATCAAGAAATGAGATGTGTGGTCCTAGAACTAAGACCAGATCACAGTGGTAATTCCTGCCATATACTTGAGTCCTGCTTTTATGTCGCCTAACTTTATGTAAAACTAGGTACCATAAAGTGCTTAAGAGGAGAGGGTATTTATTTAAAAGCTACCCCATTGGCTAGAATTTTTTAGAGCCTTGTGTTTAAATTACTTTCTTTGAATTAGTTCTTTTTATTTTCTTTCACAGGTATTCTGTGTGTGAGCTGGGGTAGGGTGGGAAGGGAGCCCCTCATTCTTCTTTAAGAGCCATGGCTGTTATTTTCTTGATTTCCCCTGTCTCTTATTCTTAAGCTTTCCTCTGTCCTCTTTCTGTCCCTTGTGTGTCCATGTATAGGAGGAAGCCATCCTGCCCCCAATTTTCTCCTCCCTTTCCTCTAGGAAGACTGATGCTTTCTCTGTGTTCATCTTAATATGGCTAAAGACAAATTTTCACTTTCTTTAAGTAAAGCCATGGATTAGTACAACTGAAAAAGAAACTATTTCAGCCAGCACTGTTGTAGATTGATTGTATGTACCCTTAAACACGCGGGTGATTCTAGTATTCTTTTTCCATTAGGCAAAAGAGATTTCACTAGCAGACCTTCAGGAGAATTATATTGAGGCATTAAATAAATTAGTGTCTGAAAATCAACAACTCCAGAAAGATCTGATGAACACCAAGTCTCAGCTGCAGCATGCTACTCTCGTGTGTAAAAAAAAAGATGGCAGGATTTTTAAACCAGCACATAGCAGAGCAGCCGAGTTCAAGAACACAGAGTCTAAGTAAAGTTTCTTAAAAGTCTCTTTGAAATGTGTGTGCTGCAATGTGATTTCCTCTGCTTTGAGAAGTAGTCATCACAGGCTCTAGGTTTAATTCTGACTACAGTGTGCACACGCGGCTCAGGTGGTTCGGCCCTTACTTCATTACAGCTTTTGTTCTGTGCACTGGATGTAGTGTCAACACCGTCTTGTTCCCCAGAACCTTTCCATGCTGCCTCCCACCACCTCTTTTCCACCTGTTCCATAAGAAGTAAAACGTGGCTTTTTATAAAAAGCAGCCATTGTATTTTTGGTTGATTAATTTTAGGTTATTACCGTAAGAAAGATTCATTCAATGAGAAGCCAAGTGGCTTCAGTTCATCATATATAGCTTGTATGTTTTCCAATCAGAAGTCTTTGGTGGCACCCCACCCCCACTCTCACCCACCGTGGCATTGTGTGTCTTCTCTGGGCGTAGGCTGCCCTGCCTGCTCACTCTGAATCACAGTGGCAGCTTGTTTGGCCTCTGTGTGATGGAAACATGGGAGTAGAGCTTGAATGAGTGGGGAACGCTTGTCCCCAAGTGGGCTGCTCCTTTGTAAGTGACAGTGCCTCACTGCCTAGCCTCTTATTTAACATTCAAATGAGCATATTTCTTTCAGCAGTTAACAGAAAGAAAAGTTGCTACAATTTTTCATTTATTTTGTTTTCTAATCTGCTATCCAGGCCAACCCATGGCCAGCACAGACATGATGGAATAAAGACTGAGCAGTATAAAACAGGTCACCACTCGCCTCGAGAACAAATGTTGGGTAGCAAAGACCCCATGGCCAGGGGCCCCAGTCCCCGGAGTTCTCACATCAGCCCTGACAGCTCCACCGTGTCTCTGCCTTCCAACTTTCTGTGCCATGCTCACTCTTTGCCTTCAATGCTAGATATAAATGATGCCAGCTTTTCTGATGTCCTGTCTGACTGTATGAATGACCAAGAAGAGTTTGTGTCTTCGGTATGGAAACATTCTGATCTTAACATTTATTTTATCTTTTATTTTAAGCTGGAGAGGGTGTTTTGTTTTTGTTTTATTTCTTACCGGGTCCTAGTCAGTGCCCTTTATTATTTTCACACATTGCCACCATACAGTTTTACTTGTGAAAGCACATTCAGCCAACATGACTTGAAACTCACATTTTGAAATATGAGTGTAAGTTTCCACTGCTGTTAGCCTGCACCTTCCTGCCTGCCTTTTACAGAGAGGGCTAACTGTGCTGCAACGATTGCATCAAGAATGGAGTCCAAAAGCATGGATAGAGAGAAAGGAAAAGAGGGCTTGGTGTTAGGTGGCAGAGGGTGGTGCATCTGAGGTGTGCAGAGTGTGATTTAGGTACCTGTAGTGGCCGGTGGTAGAGGCCATCTTTGACCCTGTGCTGGTCTCTCATCCCTACCACTGGGCTCTATTGTTCTTTGTCCTCAGTAGGGAAGTACTTGTGTTGGACCAGTCATTGTCTGTTGTCAGTTGTGGTCGTATCCTTGTAAAAGTTCAGTAACCTTGATTTTTGTAAAATGTGTCAGCAGTTTCATGGAAAGGTTCCCCTTTAGTTGTCAAATACATATCTGTTTTACTTACATGTAGTTAAAAACAAAACAAACAAAAAACTCATCACCCAGAAAAGTGACTTTCTTCCTGAGTTTGGCAGCACACCTTCTCTGACCTGCGATGATGTGAATTTTATTGATGTTGCTTTTTCTGATTAGTGTGAGCATCCATGTATTTTCCTTCAGAAGTACTCGGTATTTGGTGCTAGCACTCTGTGAGGCCAGCATGGTTGTCCTGATTATTCAGCAGTTGCCTGCTTGCCTGCCAGTTAGACTTTACTGTGGTCCTGCTGTGCCCGTGTGTGGACATACACAAAACAGGAGAGCTGGTTTACAAGTTCCTAATGGAGGTAGCACAGGGCAGCCTCGTCCTGCATTTCTGTCTCAGTGTTCGTGTGCTGATGCTACACCGTGCAGTGTAAGAGTTTTAATTCCAGCCCCACTTAGTGTGCTGTCAGCCCTGGGAAAGTCATTTCCCACTCTAGAAACCTACTTCTGCTTTGTCAGATGGAGACAAGGGACTCTTCCGTACTGTGTGTTTATTTACTCTGGAGGCAGCCGTCTGTGCTAACTCAGCATTCAGGGTAATGCTCAAATATAACTGTAAATGAGGGGTAGATTTCCTGTATTACCTTAAAAAACCCGAGATCTGAAACATCGCCAGATCCAAGAATTGCAGATCAAAGACCATGGAGTGGAATTTTGAGAAAGGGAGAAAAGTATTGATTCTTAACCAGCATCCAATTTGCTTTCTGTAGATTTTCAGTCTGTAAAGTGAGAGTGGTGTTCAGCGTCTGAAGTAGCAGGCATTGGCTGTGTTCTTGTCTCAGTGGCAGGCAGACACTCAAGTCTGAGCTGAGATCCTCTCCAAGTAGTGACGAGCTTTTCTATACCAATTTTACACTTCACGTGGACACTGCTTGGGTCAGAAAGAAAGAGACCTGTGGTGCAATGTTTTCAGAACTTTACCTTCCTTTTTCTTGACAGTAAGATAAAAATATCTCTTCAGAGGAAAATTTCCCCTTTGCATTGCTAGGCAGAAAATATCACAAATAGTGTCAGAGCATCCATCTCTGCTTCCTAACACATGTCACGGTTTGTCCCTCTCCCAGTGCTCGCTGCCTGTCTCTCCTCTGGGATCGATAGCTACCAGGTTCCTGGAGGAGGAGGAGCTACGGTCGCACCATATTCTAGAGCGCCTGGATGCACACATTGAAGAGCTGAGAAGAGAAAGCGAGAGGACGGTGAGGCAGTTCACGGCCCTTGTGTAGCCCTGGACAGCCGCAGACAGATGGCTCGGTTATAAAGTTATAATACAGAGGATGCCTGCGAGAGCAGCGGTGAAAAATCTGCGCTAATTATTTTCACTGACTTGTTTGAAGGACTTCTCCCAACAGTAACTTGTGAGAATAAACCAATTTGCAGACTTTTCTCACATGAATATTTATTACCACAAAGCAATACTTTTTCTTTCTGACTGAAATGTGAATAGCTGTGTACTAATTACAATAAAGATTTTCTAATGCAATTTGAAAACAAAGAAACTACAGCGCTTCCCTTAAGGAAGTATGTAGTGGAAGCCTGGCTCTGGAGTTGCTCAGCTGGCTTCTCACCCTTTCTCGCCATGTTCCATGCAAGGTCTGGCTAGAAGTGTGTGAAGGGCATGGGGAAATCCTCTGCCCTACCCCGAAGTCCAAGAGTGTGGGGCTCCTGGGACAGCCAGTGTGAATGCTCAGCATTTGCATGCTGACGAGAGAGCCAGATGGGAGACAGGGTTTGAAGCCACACTGTTGACAACCAAGGAGGTGTGGAGAGAGGAGAAGAGCTGGGTTCTGGGCAGCGGAGGATCACAGGAGCCGGACCAGTACAGGAAGTGGAGTGTGCAGTTGAGACAAGGAGAAGGCGCATGCTGTCCTTGCCAGCTCAGGGACCCAGAACCTTCCATTCCCCCTGCTAGTGGGTCCTACCCATCAGCGCACAAACATCCTAGTGTTTCTTCTTTCTTTAAAGAGAAACAGGAAAACTGGTCATCTCCTTTATACGATTTGCTCCTTTTCAGCAAACATCTCCATAAACAGCTGTTGGCAGTGATGGTTCTGGTTGGTCTCCTCTCTCCTGAGCCCTCTTTGCTCTAATGTTGCTCTCCTGCCACGGGGGACACTATCAACCTAAGCTCTGCGCATCAATCTCATCTTCCATTGCCCCTGCAGGCTCCCTCTGTCTGCCTGGTCTCTCCACATCATTCGCCATCACTGGAGGGCTCTGGATGGCTTTCCTCACTTAGCACAGTCTTCTCTAGAACATTCCTTTCTGTTCCCAAGCTCTTACGACCATGTAAAGCCAGTGTACTCTACAGTCAAGGAATGAGAGCTGCCTCCAGGTGGTGAGATGTCTTGGTGGTCCTGGACAGGTTCAACACTCCACATTTCCAGCAGAGGACTCTGGGTTTGCCTGGCTAAGATTCACCTCAGGACAGGGCTCGTGTTTGCTGGCTCCTCCGTGCTCTGCCCAGTTTATCGGGAGGCCCTGCTGCTTCTGCTTCTTTCAGCTCCCCCACTGCTCTTGTCTACAGTACAAGCCTTCTCCAGACTACACAGACTCTCACCTGAAGTCTGGGCATGGCCTCCCACCTGGTACCACTCCAGTACCCAACACCAGTAATTCATCTTCACAGAGTGTCCAGAGCTGCGCTTTCAACCATGAATGAAATGTCACTGCTTCCCGCTTTGCAACCTAAGGAAGCTTCTTACTGCATTCTGAACAAAACCCAAATGTGTCATGCCTACAGAGCCTCCATGACCTGGGCCTGCACACGGTCCTCACTGCGCTTCCCTCAGTGAGCTGCTCATACTAGGTTTCCTAGAGGCTTTCTCTGTGGGATCTTCATCCTCTGAGAAGACTTCGTTACTTGAATTATACCTCTTGGGGCAAGGCCTTTGCCTGCCTCATTCCTCATGGGGTCCTCACACACTGCGCAAGCCCATCTTCTCGGAGGTGCTCAGATGCGTTGAACCAGTGATAAATGTCGGTTGTCCATTAGATGCCCACATGCCGCTCTCCTCCTGCTGTGGATGCTTTCCTTCTGGTCTCCTGCCCATGGCCTGCCACTGCTGTTTTACCCCACAGCACCCAGACTCTTGGCTGCCTTAACCTGTGTGATGGGACTGGCCAGGGGCAGGGAGCTGCTCTTGCTCTCCTGAGCATGCCCCTCC